CCTCGTCCTAACACGTGGCTGAATTTCCTTATCTGCAAACTGGAAATGCCGCAACCCCTGTATGAGCGCTTAGGTGTCATCCTAGCACTCTGGGAAGCTGAGGCTGGTGGATCGCTGGTTCAAGTCCAGCCCAAGCAATTTAGCTACTTAAGGAGCCTCTGTCTTAAAAAGTAAAGGTCAGGGGCTGTAGTTCAGTGTAAGGCCCAGCGTTATGTCCCCAGTACCGAGGAGGGGGAAAAAAGGAACTAGGATGCTTCCGGAGGGCAACCCCTTGGGAAAGTCTCCTCTGCAGCTCGTCCTGGCTCCTAGAGGCACCCACAGACCTTGGCTCTCGGCCCTTTTCTACATCTGCATAACCAGCAGTGCAGCCTCTCTCTCCCTCCCACCTCTGCTCTGGGGGACAGTGGGGCCCAATAGTCAAAATGACCCCCTCTCAGGGTCCTCCACATGATCCCTTCTTCCATGAGAGAAGACATGGCCAGACTCCTCCCAGGGTCTGCCTCTGTGTCCGGTGTCTGATCTCTGTCTAGAAGCAGGTCAGCTGGACCAGGTAATCAGGGTCCCTGTTCCCTGAGAGCCACTCATGTGCCCTCAGAGACTCATTGGAGCACAAGGCAGGGAGGAAGCCAGATGACAAAGCAGGTCCCTCAGCATGGTCACTAGGGCAGGACCGTGGCCTCTGGCCATCTGCTGGGCCAGCTCAGCCAGGCATATGCCCCGCCCCCGGCCTTGTAAACTGCACAATGCTGTACCCATAGGGAGGCAGGAAACAAACTTACCGCTTCCACAGCTCCAGGGGACAGGCTGCCCACACCCTCGCAACCACCTCAGGCTCCGCCCAGCCTGGGCCCGCCCCCAGCACAGGACAGCGGGGCCCTGGCTCTGTCCCCGCCCTGCTGAGCCACTGAGATGGAGCGCCTGAGTCAGCCGGCAGGAAGGGTCACTTACAGCCACTTGCATCAGATAGGCCCAAAGCCAAGGAGCCAGCCCCCGCAGGGGCCTGCAGCACCACGGCTGCACCCCTCACGTAGCTGGGGACCCTCCTGGCTGTGGTTCCCATCGCTGAGTGCCCTGGGGTGGGGTTGTGTACCAGGCTGGGTGCCAGTACTGGGGACCTAGACTGCACTCCCCCAAGAATCCAAGTACCTCTTAGCTTCAGGGGCTGATTCTGAGTGACACCAAGTGTATATGGGCGCATACCCCACGTCTTCCCTCCCGTGAGGCACATAATCTGTCCTACTTGGCCATGGGCTTGATGACCGACACCCCCAATGTCTCTCACCCATGCACCTCAAATTTTTGTGGAGGGGGAGGAGAAAGGTCTTTACTCTCATGCTCCAAGAGATTAGCAGATAAAATACAGGATTGACCAGGTGCCATGGTGCATGTCAGTAACTGCCATCTGTTCGCTATTTGGGAGGCTGAGGCAGGAGGATTTCCTGCTCGAGATCGACCTGGACAAGCTGGCGACACACTGTCTTTAAATTAAAAAAAGAGAGAGAGAGAGAGAGAAAAGGGAGGAGGAAGCATAGAAAATGGACCAAAAACTGAAAAATAAAAACAAAAACAAAAAAAGCCTGAGGATGTAAGCTCGGTGTAAAGGTCCTGGCTTTAATTCCTGATACCAAAAAATAAAAATAAAACAATGGGTCATAGCTCAGTGGAAAGAAACCCTTGTGTTTGGTCCTCAGTACCACTAAATAAAGAAAACACAGGTTGGCCAGTGAATTTGAATTTCAGATTCATAAGTAGTAATTGTTCTGGATTTGCTTACCCTTGGGATACACAGTGCTTACCCAGGGCACGTGCTTATGCTTAGCTTTTCTACTGGAACTTTATTATCTGCCATGCAGATTTAGCTGGACACCTTTCCTGGCTATGAACCCTGGTGCAGTAGCCCTGATGGTAGCTCCTACTGTGGTGCCTGGAATTAGGGAACTCTTGACCAGGGGACCCTTGAGGCCACCTGGAACAGGGACCAGGCCAGGCTGGCTGTTGTTCTCTCATGGGAGAAGGGACAGGGGTTGGGTAGGCATGGCCTAGGAGGCTGGCCAGGGTGACTAGAAGAAAGGCAGCGTTGCCATGGAGGGCCAATGGGTGTCACTAAGGGGGGCAAAGTAGCGTCCACCCACAGAGTCACCTCGTGGGCGGCCACCCTGGCCCCCTGCTGGACCCTGCCTCCCTAGGCCTCATCTGTTCCAGGATTGTTCCAAAGTGCAGCAATAAAGTTCCAGGATAGTGCACCCTTACTAGGTCACCTGTCCCACGTGAACTAGGCGGGGAGGGACGGGGCTGCCCAGGGGTCAAGTGAGGGGGGCAGGAGGAGCTGGGTATTGTGCAGACCACAGCAGGACGCTGGCACCCGGGCCGGGGCCCCACCTTGCTTCCTGTTTGTCCTCTTTCTGGCCGACGCCTTCTCTTGCTCTGGTGGCCTCAGGCTGGCCAGTCCCTCGGAACAGTCCCCCCTCCCAGGCTGGCCTCTACCTGTGGGATATGGGGGGGCTCTTCCCTGACCCCGCATTCCCAGCCTGCCCGCCCTGTGCCTGTCTGTCCTTTGCCCCAGTCACCTTCACCATGCAGCCCGGACACACTCCCGAAGGAGGGAGGAAACCAGAACATGGGCCAGGGCCCAGGTTCCCTTCGAGCTGCCCTGCCCGGTGCTTTTTCCCTGGGGAAGGTAGGGCCTCCCTCCCAGAGCCCCACAGTGAAGACACAGTGGGCAGGAGAAGCCAGGATGGGGTGCCCTTGGGTGCCCAGCACCTCCGGGGGCGATTTGTGAACAGAGCATTTGCAGGGAAGAGATGGCAGCGCTGGGACAGGGCAGAGCTGTGTCACACAGCCCTGCCCTGCAGGAGGCCACCCACTTGCCAGTCTCCCTGGCTGCCCCACCTAGGTGCAGGCCAGTTCTGGGCCTTGCTGCCTGCAGAGGGGACACCTCTCTCTGGCCGGGCCTCCGTCCCAGGCTGAGAGTTGCTCTCTCAATGAGTCTTTTCTCAAAGGAGCTGCACTCATGGAACTCACCTTCCTGTGTGCTTCAGCCAAGGGGCTGACGGGTGGACCTACACCCAGGGCCAAACACGCATGCGTGTGCCAGTAATCCCGGAACTCAGGAAGCTGCGGCTGAAGGCTGAGACAGGAGCTTCAGGCCAGCCCTGCCTCTTTAAGCACAGAGGGATAGGACGAGTCCCCCAGAGGGTACAACCAGGGCGACTCACCAGTGACCTGCCTCCCTAGAGACCCTGAGCCGTGTCCAGAAGGCTGAGGCAGCAAGATCAGATTTAGTGACTTATCGAGATGGTCTCAAAACCTACGGAGAGCTGGGATACAGCTTAGTGTGAAGGGCCTAGGGTCCATTTCCCAGTACTGAAACCAAAGGAAAGGGAGAGAGAGAAATTTGGATTCTGAGACACAAAGACCAGCCTTGTGACAATGGAGATGGACTGGAGGGATGTGGCCAGAAGCCAAGGGTCACCTGGAACCACCAGAAGCTGGAAGAGGCCGAAAGAACCCTCCCTGGGGCCCCGGAGGAAGCACATCCTTCTGTAGCCTGGACCTCACTCCCATCTCCAGGGCTAGGGGAGCACATTATTTTCACTGACGCTACTCTGCTCACAGTCTTTTGTCACTGAAGCCCTAGGAAGCCATCTGCTTACTGAACACACACACGTGCACACACATATTCATACACATCTTCCTTTTGGTCAGGACTCTGCTTGGATCCTGGACCTCCAGATTGATGCTGTCATGGAGGTGACACTGGTGGCAGGCGGTGACCCACTGGTGGGTGTCCTAGGTGTCTTTAACATACACAGGCACAAGTAAGCCTGTGAGAGCAACTCCTGACCCTGCTTGGGGTGACCCTGCACTCACAGAGCAGGGCCCGGCCTGCAGGCAGAGGAGGGAGGGGAGAGCAAGGCAGGAGGCTGCAGGGAGAGCAGGCCGGGCCTTTCCCGGCCAAGCAGGTCTGACAGCCTCACCCTGGCACCTGGGGCCAACGTGTGAGGCTCTGCACAAACACACGCATGCACACTTGCACACACGGTAGGCAGGGCCGGGCCAGAACTCCTGGTTCTCCATCTATGGGCAAGACTCACAGACCCGCAACAGCCCAAGGCTGCTTGGGAAGATCCCCAAAAGGCCCCTTCAAATGCCAGGGAGGTGGCCTTTGAGGACAGCAGGTGGGCAGCCTGCAGTCTGCAGCCTAGAGCGGGGCTCTAGCCCCTCTGAGCTCAGGAGACACCTGTTAGGTGCCTTAAGGGTGAGCTGTGGAATGCAGGCCAGGTGGGACGCAGGCTGGAGACGCAGCCCCACGTGTGCCTTTCCTCCTGCCTGGGGCCACCCCCGGCCAGGAGCTCCTTCCCAGACAACCTGGAGGCCCAGTTCCCCGTTAAACGGTACTGATCTAGGTCCTCATAGATCCTACCCCACAACCAGGCAAACTCCTGGTTGGGGGGAATCCCTTGGGAGAGGGCGGCTGCTTCCCGAGCAAGGCTGCGCCGGCGGGATAGGATGTAGGTGGTTGCGGCCAGTCCTCCAGCGCTAGAAGAAAGGATGGCTTCGAAGTGTGCTGTGGAGGTACCTTAGGGGGCTAGAAGGCAAGAGCATCCGGGAATTGCTCTATAACGCGGGCTGGTTATGGAGCAAGGATATCGCCCAAGAATATGTGTCCTTGGCTTGGCCAGGGATGTTGCCCTGCACGGGACCAGAAGGCAGGACCCAGCTTGACACCAGAATCCCGCCCCCTACGAGTTTCCAACAGCCTAAAACCGTCCCACCGAGATAGGGTCCGCGGAGGCTTCTGTGCGAAGCCCAGTGTGCCTTACTGCGCAAGCGCATGCAAAGCAGCGCAGACAGGCACCCCATTCGAAGCGCGCAGTCGCACTCAGCAGAACTTTAAGCTCCGCCCCCGCCGCGCGCAGGGGGCGTTCCTGGAGAGGCGGGGACTATGTGGGGGCGGGGCCGCAAGGCGGAGGCAGGGACTATAAAAGTGGCGGTAGCGGCAGCGCGCCTGGCTCCTCTCAGCGGCGGTGGCCCAGGCGGAGGAGTCCGCGGTGGCGGCGGTGGCGGCGCTGTTCCCCGCGCGGTCCGCGGAGCGGGGTCCGGGCTGTGCGACGTCGGGCGGCGGCGGCACTGAGGCCACGGCCCGACCCCGACCCCGGTGAGCTCCCCCAGCCACCAGGGACCCCCGACTCGGGCGCGGGGAACCGGCCCCGCGGAGCCCTCGCCGCCGCCGCCGCTCACCACCCTCCCTTTGTCTGCTCCGCCCGCAGGGTCCCCTCCTCGGCCGCCCCCCGCCCACGGGCTGCCCCCTGGGCCCTGCGTCCTTTCCCCCGCTGGCGGGGCCCGGACAGAAGATGGTGCAGAAGAAAACAGCCGAACTTCAGGGCTTCCACCGATCATTCAAGGTAAGGGCCCTGTCGGTTTGGGGCGCTGCAAGCTGGACCGCCGGAGTGGCCTCTGGGATAGGCAGAGCTCGTCCCAGAGGCTCCTGAAGGAGGCGGGGTACCCCACGGTCTGCTCCCGGGGCTGCCCCAGTTCGGAGTGCGCTAGAGTTGGGGTGGGGAGGGGCGATCCGCAGGCCGCAGCGTCGGCTGTGGCTGTGGTCCGCGAGGGCTCCCCAGGTTCCTGTCGTGTGGGTGTGTGTGCCCTGCAAGCCCTAACTAGATGTATGGTTGAGGGGGGGGTGGAGGACAGCAGGCCGCAGTCGTGTCCCCCAGCGCCGCGTGTGTGGTCCTTCCTCCCGGACTCGCGGGACGGCTGGGGTCCCCTGCTAGCCTCAGCTGTTTGTGCACGGCTCTGGAGGAGTCAGGCCCGTCCCCCCCTTTGTGTGGTCCTTGGGGACTTTGGTTCTGGAGCCCTTGGCTCGGTGGGCGGCCGTGTGAAGTGGGAGAGTGCAGAGAGGACGCCCCTCCCAGGCACCCCAGGCCCAAAGTGCTATTTCCTGTCGGAGCGGGAAGTTTTCTGCAGCGATCTGGTGGCGGCTGCGACCACAGAGGCGGCGCAGTGGCTGGCGGCTGCCGAGTCCCGGTCTCAGATGAGCGAATCTGGAGGTGGCTAGGAGGCCAGGTGCTGGGCAGAGGCCCCCACGGGGCCTGGCCCAGGGGACGCAGTGATGTCAGCCTGCCCGCTCCGCTCCGCAGGCTGGGTTATGTAATGGCTTGGCTTCCCTGGGCTTCCTTGGGCAGGGGACCTGTTGCCCGTTGGAGGAGGCAAGACTTGCTATGGTGTGTGTCAGTGTGTGAATGTGAGTGTGTGAGTGTGTTGTACACACGGGCGCGCACCGCTGTGGGAGGAGCATGGTGAGTCTGGGAAGAATTCCCAGGCCAGTCCAGCCAGTGTGCCTGGCCAGCCGCCCCACCCCTGTCCCACATGCCTGTCATCCTTGTTTTCCCCTAGGGTGGCTGAGGCCTCAGCCTGCAGTGTCTGGACTGGGTGTGAAGAGTGGCTTTGAGATGTCACTCATGGTGGTCCTTCTCCTCCTGGGGGGCGGTCAGTGCATGGGCCAGAGAGGCAGCAGCCTAACAAACCCGAGCTTTCTGGATGGTTCCAGCCGCCTCCTGCCAAGGCTTGCTGACAGCCCGAGCCAGGGTGAGCCAGGCCAGCCTGGGCTGGGCCGCCCACAGGGCTTGGGATGAGGCAGGCCTGTGCAGGGTGACTAGAGAGCTGGCACTGTGGTATCCCTGGGGGAGGAGGCCCTGCAGCAGGCTGGGGCCCTCAATCCGGAGGGGTCTCCACTCACCCAGGCTGCTACTCCCGGGTTGTGGCCTCTCTCCTGGAACCCCTCCCCCGGCCAGGTCTGCAGCAGGTGCTGCGTCTGTTAGATTTGTTGGCTTGGTTTTTGGGGGGTGGGGGAGGGGACCAAGGGCTTGGTATGCGCTGAAGTGCTTGACCCTGATCCACACTCCCGCCCCCCACCTGGACCCTGGGCTTCAGCAGTGAGGGTTAAACTGGGCTCCTCGAACTGAGCTGCATGCCTGCGCCACCCTCTGTGTTTCTGAGAGAAGGCCTTGCTGTGTAGCTCAGGCTGGCCTTGAGCTCACTGTGTAGCCCAGGCTGGACTTTCTCTGTGACCTTCCTGCTTCAGCCTCTCAAGTACTGGGACTGAAGCACATGCCACCAGGCTTGGCCCCGTTTTTGATTTTGAGACAGGTTAGCTTATGATCGCCTGCCCCAGCCCCCAGAGAGCTGTGGTTACTGGTGTGCACTGCTGCACCTGGCTTCTTTTCTTCGTTATAAGGTGGATAAACAACACCTCCTTGCAGCAGTAGGTTCCTGTACACATGGGAGACCCTGCCCAGCACCCCAGCCCCCACAGGTCTGTCCTTCACTGTGGTGGCTTTGTCTCAGCCATCTGTCTCAGCCTTTTTTCGTGGGGACTATGACCGAATAGGGTCAGAGGCTCAGCTGGGGGCAACTGTCCTGTTGGCCTGAAGGTCCAGCCCAGGAGTAGGGCCTAGGCAAGCTCAGGGTGCCGTCACTGCTGCTCCGGTGGGGAGCCTTATCAGCTTGCACCTGCCTGTCCCCCCACCCCAGGCTGGCTGTGTGTCCCTCCCTACACTGGCCTCCTAGCAACTATCTGCCAGGCAGGGTGGGTGGGGAGACACGGAGAGCGACGCCACCTCCCTGTGTACTGCAAGCCTTGCCGGCCTCGGTCTGCAGGTACCTGGCTGCGTCTGCTGAGTGGAGCCCTCTGGGAACTCCCTGGGGTCCCCCAGAGTGGTTTCTCTGCTGGATGATGGACCCTCCTGTCAGCCCTGCCCACTGGCTAGGAGGTTAGGGGAGGAGCACAGGTTTGGCCAGGGTCACCTGTCATCTGCACTAGTGTCACCTGCCTCTTACCGTGTTTCTAGCCCCCAGGGCCGGAGTCTGCCATCTGACTCTGAGAACGGGGGAGGCTAAGTGAGACCTGTCTGGGCCTCAGTTTCCCAGCTGGGAAGGCCCTGCCTCTCATGCAGGAGACCTCAGGTCAGGACTGGACCATCTTTCTGCAAAAAACAGATCTGTTCCAGCAGTTTTGCTTGGGGACCAGGGAAAGGTTTCTCTGACCTGCAGCACCCTTTTGCCTGGTTCAGGTCTTAAACCCTCCCAGCCACCCTGGCCTGTCACTTGACCCTTCTCGGAGCTCCAGGCCTGAACTGGAGTCCTGGGCACCGAAGACCCTTCCCCTCCCCAGGCATCTCAGCCAGGCCTGGAGCCCAGAGCTGTCCCCTACTGTGTGTCAGGCTGCCCAGGACAATGCAGGCTGAGCAGGGCTGGGCATAGTTGTGCTTCAGGTGTCAGGAGTAACCCAGCTAGATCCTGGTCACCACTCCAGTAGGGCAGCACTGTTTCCCACACCAGTGTCCTCAGTGGGGATCAGTGATCATCAGAGGGTGAGAACGGGTGGTGACGCCTCCAGAAACTCAGGACATCGCTGGGTTGGTGGACTCCCCATCCCCAATGCAGGAGCAGCAGCCAGCAGCCAAAGAGGAGAACCAGTGATGCCCCGCTTCGCTTAGGGAGTCTGAGGCCTGGAAGGCTGATGGCCTTGCCTGCAGCCACCAGCTGTGGCTCAGCTGCCCGAGTCGGCCTAAGGCTACGGCCCAGCAGGCTGGTAGCGCTTTTGCTGTCCTGCTGCCAGGGGCCTCTAAGGTCCACAGCTGGCCCCAAGGTGAACCTGAGGTCAGCTGGCTGGGGCTGCATCTCCATTTTGTACAAGAGCAGACTGAGGGCCAGACATGATTTGGGGACCCTCTGTGATGCAGGCCTGGGCTGGAGGCAGAAATCAGGCAAAGACCTCCCTATCCCGGGCCCTGCAGGCTGCTGATCAGTGTCCCTGACCGCCACCCATTCTGTGCCAGCAATGCCCCCGCCCCTGGTTTTTTTTTTTTTTTGTTTTGTTTTTTTGTACCAAGGACCGAATTCAGGACCACTCCTCTGCTAGGATCCCCGGTATCCCATGACCACCTGCCCGCTGAGGTCCTAGAACATGGCTTAGAGAAGCATTCACACTGAGCTGCGCAGGAGTGAGGAGCTGGGCTCGGAAGCTGGGTCCCCCATCACCCCATCACCTGCCTGCCCCAGCAGGAGCTTGTCCAGCTGTCCTTTGTGTGCAAGAAGCATGTTTGATTTTTTTTCCATGCTGGACACTGTAGGGGCTGCTTGTCATGGGCACCACTGGGCCTGAGCTGCTGTCCTCTCTGGTCCTCTGCAGGGCCCGAATCCTTTCGAGCTGGCCTTCTCTTTAGACCCGGGCCACCACGGGGACTCGGACTTCAGCCCACCGTGCGAGGCCCGCCCTGGTGAGGATCCCGGGGAGAGTGGGTGAGGGCTGGGGCCCTTGAGGCAGGGAGGGGAGGCGGCACCTCGGCCCTCCTCACCCTGCAGCATGCCCGGTATAGACATGCCCGCCAGCCAGCCCATCGACATCCCAGACGCCAAGAAGAGAGGCAAGAAGAAGAAACGGTGCCGCGCTACTGACAGCTTCTCGGGCAGGTTTGAAGGTGCGCGGGGCGGCATCAGGGCCGGCAAGGAGGCAAAGGTGTGGTGGCAGCCATGGCCCTCACCCCTCCTGTGCTCCCCAGATGTGTACCAGCTGCAGGAGGATGTGCTCGGGGAAGGGGCTCACGCCCGCGTGCAGACCTGCGTCAACCTCATCACCAACCAGGAGTACGCTGTCAAGGTGAGCCCTGCCCTCAGCCGAGCAGCCCTGACTGACCCCTGGCACCCACCCGTTGGGTGGGCTGGAAGTCCTGGAGCTTCCGGTCAACAGCTGGGGGAAAAACAGTATCTAAAAATGGCCCTGGGACCTGGTGACTCAGGCCACCCCTGGGAATCCAGGTCAGCCCCACTGATCCCCCCCAGTCACTAGAGGTAACAGCCAGGGCTGGCCTCGGCCCACCCCAAGGTCTGGTAGCCAAGGACCTGGTGCCAGGGCAGCTGCTGAGTGCTGCGGGCTCGGGTCAGCGGCCAGTCCTGCAGCTCTGATCTCCAGTGAGGACACCTGCCGGGAGGATTGGTCACAAGGACACAAAGACAGCAGCATCATACCTGGGGCCCAGAGTGGGGACGGGGGGCTATGCATTTGGGGGAACCCCACACAGGTCCATGGGAACTTCCCATGAGTCCTCTCCCCAGACATGTGACCTCCGAACCCTGGGTGTGTCCATACACTGAAACCCAAACCCTAGTGTGGCCTCGAGACCTTGCAGGGCCAGCTGGTCAGCCTGTGTTCTGAGAAACTGTCCAGCTCCTGGCTGGGCAGGTTGGCAGAAGGGCCAGCTGCCCAGGAAGGTAGCCAGGTGCTCCCTGGCAAGCAGGGACCAGGTGACAGCCAGCAGCTGCTGTGTGTGAGGGGAACAGAAAAGGTGGCCGTCCTGTTTGCGTAGGAAGCCTTGGCTGGCAAAGCTGAGTGGGACCCCAGCTGTAGCCGTGGTCCTCAGGTAGGGCGGGCACAGGGCAGATGGCCTGGGCACAAGTGGTCCTCCAGCCTCAGCCACTCAGCATAGGCCCCAAATGTCCAGCTGGGGGAAGAGGAGCCCAGGATGCCAGGAGAGCCGGCAGGCTCCTCCGACCTCCAGGGCCCTGCAACCGACCTGGCTTGTGGGTGGGGGAGGGGGACACAGGTTGGCATGGAGCCAGAGAGGCAGAGTCTGTGTCGCAGGCTCAGGACACGTGGGAACCAGCTGGGCTGGCAGCCAGGTGCCAGGAGGCCTGTGTCGCTCTCTGGGTCATGTGGGAGGCAGCCGCACTCCCAGAGCAGCTGGGGTGCCCGTCCCAGGGTCCCCACACCTGTAGGCAGCTCTGGAGGCCTGTCCAGCAGGTCGTAGGGCCGCCCTGACCTGTTCTCCTGCCTTTCCCATCCCCCCAAAGCTGCCAGTGGGGAGTTCATTGCCCCACCCCACCCCAGCCTGTGCTGACACCAGGCTTCTGGCTTCCAGAATTCTAGGGCCACTCAGGACAGCTCCACTTCTCAAAGCTTAGCTTAATGGTGGGATTTCAGGAGGGGTCCAGGGCAGGTTTCTGTGGGGATCCCACATGTCCCTCATGCAGTGGGTGGCACATGCTTCCCCCCCCCCCTTCCCCCCCGTTTCAGATCATCGAGAAGCAGCCAGGACACATACGCAGCCGGGTGTTCCGGGAGGTGGAGATGCTATACCAGTGCCAGGGACACAGGTGAGGTGGCCGCCTCTGCCAGAGGCCCTAAGGCCTCTCCAGGATACCAGTCTCATAGCAGGGTGTACCAGGCCCTTGGCTGGGCAGTGTGGGTGACCCAGGGGCAGGCAGCTGGGACAGTGAGGGGCCAGGTCCCAATTCCCAGCTTCCCTGTGGCCAAGTGGGCACTGGAGGGCAGCTCAGGAAGCTTCAGCCCCTCTTCTGTCTCCACGTCTCCCCCAGGAACGTTCTAGAGTTGATCGAGTTTTTCGAGGAGGAGGACCGCTTCTACCTGGTGTTTGAGAAGATGCGGGGTGGTAGGTGGAGGAGACCCCTAGTTTGGGGGGTACAGGTGCACACCTCAGCTCAGGGTCAAGGACTGCGTTGGGCCCACGAAGGCCAGGGTAGGGGGGTTGGCGACCTCGGAGATGACCTGTGTCCTCCTTGGTTGTGGCTTCATCCCAGGCTCCATCCTGAGCCACATCCACAAGCGGCGACACTTTAATGAACTGGAGGCCAGCGTGGTGGTGCAGGACGTGGCCAGCGCCTTGGACTTCCTGCACAACAAAGGTGGGCCTGGGGCCAGCAGGGCTCCCGGGGGCCGGGCCAGGCAGGGCCAGCCTCACCCATTGGAACCCCATATGGCTTCCCCCCAGGCATTGCCCACAGAGACCTAAAGCCCGAGAACATCCTCTGTGAACACCCCAACCAGGTGAGGCCGTAAATCCCATGGTTCCCTCCTTACACCCCACACCAGACCTGTAACAGCCCCCTGTTCCCCTCCCAGGTCTCCCCCGTGAAGATCTGCGACTTCGACCTGGGCAGTGGCATCAAACTGAACGGGGACTGCTCCCCTATCTCCACCCCGGAGCTCCTCACTCCGGTGAGGGCGTCGGGGATCTGGGGTCGCAGAGGCTTTTGCAAGCCTGGGCTTGCGGAACCTCGAGGTGTCTGTGCTTGCTCTGCCGCCCGGACCCGCCAACCTCCAGCTTCCGCTTAGCAACAGCTGTTGATTGGCTGGGTGAGGGCGGCGGGGGTGGTGCGGGTTCCCGGCAGCAGCTACTGGTTGGCCGGGGGTGGGGAGTAAGGTGGGCGGGGCCAGAGTCCGTCGGGGGTGGGACAAGGTGAGTTTTGGGCTTGCTAATTGGATGGGGCGGGCTCAGCAGCGGCCTTTGAGGATCCTGGCCTGCCATAGGGTTGTATCCCGCGGGTAGTGGGGTGGCCGCGGTCGCACGGGGAAACCCGGGCTGACAGCCGCTCCTGGCCCTCAGTGTGGCTCGGCCGAGTACATGGCTCCCGAGGTGGTGGAGGCCTTCAGCGAGGAGGCCAGCATCTATGACAAGCGCTGCGACCTGTGGAGCCTGGGCGTCATCCTCTACATCCTGCTCAGCGGCTACCCACCTTTCGTGGGCCACTGCGGCAGTGACTGCGGCTGGGACCGTGGCGAGGCCTGCCCCGCCTGCCAGGTGACTCCCCGCCCGGCTGTCTCCTCCCTGCGCACCCTAGTGCCAGCTCCGGCTGTGTCAAGTCACTTTCCTGGGCCCTCAAGCTCACAGGAGAAAGCGGACCTGTGAGCTGATGTTGTGAGCTGGGTGTCTTGGACTTTTGTCCTCTGGCGCCAAGCCCCGTTAGCTGGGTGTGGTGATGCAACACCCAGGGAGGCTGAGGCAGGATCACATGTTCAAGCTTAGCCTGGGCTACTATGGCCTGAATGAGATCTTGTCTCAAAAGATAGAAAAAGGGGCAGGGGGTGGAGCTCAGTGTGGAGGACCGGGTTCAGGCCCTGGTATTGGGGGGAGGGGGAACCTGGCCCGGATGTTGTCTGCTTCTTTTGCTCTGCAGAGCCCAGCCCTGCCAGCTGGCCTCGGGACCTGGGCTGTCTCTAGCCCTCTGTCCACCCTGAGTTTGGTGACAGATCCCTCCTCCTTGCTATCTGTAGTATCCAGATCTGCCCCCTGGGGTGAACGGGCCATGGCCCTGAGCTCCTGGGCTGCTCTTGATCCACTGCACCCCACCCCACCCCACCCCAGAACATGCTGTTTGAGAGCATCCAGGAGGGCAAATATGAGTTCCCCGACAAGGACTGGGCCCACATCTCCTTCGCCGCCAAAGACCTCATCTCCAAACTGCTCGTCCGCGACGCCAAGCAGCGGCTGAGCGCTGCCCAAGTCCTGCAGCACCCCTGGGTGCAGGGGGTGAGCCTGGGGCTCTGGGGGAGCTGCAGGGTACAGGTGGAAGCCCCAGGGTTGGAGGCTCATGGGAGTAGCTTCTCAGAGAAGTTGATCTGGCCCTGGCTGGCCCTGGCAGTGAGCCTTGGCAGAGCAGGGCCTGGTCAGGGCAGCCTCTGGCCTGTCGCCCTCTTCCAGGGCCCACCCTGGCCTTTTCACTGGCTCAACCTCCACTGCAATAGGGGCTGGGCTTTCCCCAGGGCCTGAGGCATGGAGCTCCGCTAAACAGCTGGGCTTCCCAGGGTTCCGTCGCCTGAGGGCCACCCAGAGACCTGTGGGTCAGGTGGAGAGGAGGCTGGTGCTGTCCGGAGAATTGTGCATGTAGTGCCTCTGTGCCCCATTGCCCCAATGCTGCTGGGTTTCTGCATCTTTGCCACCCTGCCGGGCCTGGCTCAGGCACCACAGTGTCCCCGGGCTGGTCTGTAGGCACCTTGGGGCTGGGTTGGGGCCCGTACCCTGGTAACCAATCACATTCTTGGTCCTGGAGGGTGAACTTGGAGCCTCCTCTGACCAGATTCCTGTTAGTCTTTGGGGACACAAGAGCCAGCAGGGGGTCCAGGGGTGGCCTGGACAGTCCAGTGCTTCTCGTCACTGACTCTTGTTCCCCCACAGTGTGCCCCGGAGAACACCCTGCCCACGCCCATGGTCCTGCAGAGGTGAGGCCTGTGCTGGCTCAGGGTCTAAACATTCAAGTGTTTAGACTGGAAGACGTGGGATGTGGGGGTGCTCGCCTGGAATCCCAGCACTCTGGGAGGCTGAGGCAGGAGAATCACAGGTTCAAGCCCAGCCTGGGAAACTTAGTAAGATCCTGGCTCAAAAGCTATGAAAGGGCTTGGGTTCGATCACCAATACTGGAAAGAAAGGACTGAAAGGGGCCTTTCAGTGAGCAGGGCTACTTCAGGGCTTGGCTGTCCTTGTCCCAGGTGACCTGGTGCAGCTCCCAAGTGGGTCTTAGTCCCCAGAAGCACCCTAGGGTGGGGGACAGATGCTGTGGCCACCAGGGTCCCTAGAGGAAGCAGTAAAGAATGAGGCTGTCTTTGGTGACATCCCCTGCCCTGTGCCCTAGGAACAGCTGTGCCAAAGACCTCACGTCCTTCGCCGCGGAGGCCATCGCCATGAACCGGCAGCTGGCCCAGCGTGACGAGGACGCGGCCGAGGAGGCGGCCGCAGGGCAGGGCCCCCCTGTCGTCATCCGCGCTACCTCACGCTGCCTGCAGCTGTCCCCGCCCTCTGAGTCTAAGCTGGCACAGCGGCGGCAGAGGGCCAGCCTGTCCGCCGCCCCTGTGGTCCTGGTGGGGGACCGCGCGTGACCCCCTGCTGGCCGGCCATGTACATAGGTCGCCCCCGCCCTGTCTGACCTGAAAGGTTTTTAAGCTAAGGTCAGCGGGGGCCGGGGCTGCTCCCCATCCCGCTGGCTGCTTCCCCAGGCTGAGCTCAGCCCGGGGTGGATTTTTTTATAGAAGGTTTTTGCTGTTCGGTTTTTCTCCCGTCCTCCTTTTCCCCAAGCCCCTCCCATCTTTTGTTTTTCCGTGTTTTGTTTGTTCCTTTTCACAATGTTCAAAGCAAGTGCCCGGGGAGGACCCTCCGCTGCCCCGCCATGTACACCTGTACTGTGAAGGTCTCCCCGCCGCCCGCCGCCTGCACCCCGCCACCTCCCACGGCTCCCGCCTCCAGCCACTTTGCTGTCTTCCAGCGCCGGAGGGGCGCTCAGGGGCCCAGCCCCTCTTCCCAGTCCTTGGTGGTTTTAGGAATGGTCCCCTCTGCGGTCCTGTTGGCTTGGGTAGGGTAGGGGGCGCCCCATCTCCGCAGGCAGGGTGGACGGCCACCCACCCTATTCCTGCCCCCAGCCCTGAGCTCCCTCCCACCTTCCTGTCCCTGAGAGCTGACAATCGGGGTTCTTCCCAGGCCTGTCTGAGCAGGCCCCTGCCAGCTGGACTTGGCCTCTGACTTCGCCCTTACATCACAGCTGATGGGGGTCACACCCTCTCCCCCCCTCCTTCCCCAGGATTGAAGCCGGAGCCAGGCGTGTGCCAGACCCTAACCCTGCATCTGGCCGGCCTCAGCATGATGGAACGGGGGCAGGCAGGCACCCATCTGCCAACACGGGGTCCCAAAGTGTCCCCACCCCCTTGGGCACCCAAGTGCCCCTTCTCAGGGCTCAGTCTGGCCACAGCCACGTTCTGCCCCACACTGCCCCTGGGTCTGGTCTTCGGCAGCTCTTCTGGCCCCGCCCCCACCCTTGGGGTTGGAGCTGGACTCGAGGGTCCCCCTGAGAACCCCCACCCTGCTCCCCCCAGGGCGGCGATTCAGCTGTACCCTCTTTCAGGAAAGCAGCTGCAGCACCCAGAACTGATCAGGGAGGGTCCCCTGGGTGCACCCCATGTTTCCCCCAGCTCCAACCAGGCCCCTGGTCAGCCCGCCTGGGGACATGGGAGCCTGGGCCGCTCCTGTGCTGGCCAGCCTCGAACTACTATGCAATACAAGGCCCTGTTTTCTACGTGCACGTGTGGCCCTGCAGGTCGGGGGCGCCTGGGCCCCAGGACCCCTGCCTAGCCCGGCCCAGGGTCTGCTCAGGTGTCCGGGCCAGGCAGGGCCGCTCCCTTGGCCTCCAAATCCGTGGTCGGGATTGTTTGTTGTGTTTAGTTTTTTTTTTTTTTTAAGAAAACAAAAAAAAAACAAGATATCATCTGACTTTGCTTCTGTTCTTGAAGAATACTTGAATGTCGAGGGGCCTTGTGGGTAGGGGCTCGGACACTGCCCAGGATTCCCTCGCCTTCCCCCCAAGTCTCATCTAGTTGTCACAGTCCGGTGGTCGGCGGGGTGACACTGCGCCCTCTCCAGTCCTCTGCCCACCCACCGCTGTGGACTGGCCTTTCCAAAGACCTGGGGGCCAGGGGAGCTGCCCACCCCCACCCCCATATCTTGCCCATCCATGGCCCCGCCTACCTGGGGTCGCTCAGCTTTCTTGAGTGGAAGAACAAATGGGCCTCTGTCCGCCGCAGGTGTCCCGGCCACTGGCTCCCAGAAACTGGGCAGTGAGCAGCTTTCCATTTTTGTTTTCTTCCCCCAAGAGGCAAAACTGTCTCTTCGTGTCCCCCCTGTCGCCTCCGCGCTGCGACAGAGAGGACTCGTCAGAACCGTTACTGTGAATGAGTGGATGACCCTGCAGCAGCAGCAGCGCTGGCTGGGGAAGGGGACAGCCACCAGCGACGATGTTGACACGTTTGAGAGGACACACACTTTGGGACAAGGACATCCAAGCACTTTAAACAGCACTGTATCAGGTGAACAGACAGCGCAGAAGTTTTCCTTGACACCAACTGTCAATGCCAGAATTTTGTATTCTGTTTTGTAAGGATTTAATAAAAGTAAAAAACACGGCTTTCTGTCACTGGTGCCCAGGGTGGCAGAGCAGGCTTGAGTCCCAGTCACAGCGTGCGGTGTGAATTGGATCTGGAGGGCACCGAGGCAAGTTTTTGTTCCCCCCAGAGTGTCTGGGACAGCTGACAAAAGTGCACGATTTTTTTTTTTTTTTTTTGTCTTTTTTTCCTTTTTATCGGTACCAGGGATTGAACTCACAACTGCCTGCTTGCAGGGCAGGCGCTTATGCCGCTGAGCTAAATCCCCAGCTCCATTTTTGGTCTTTTTTTTGAGATGAGGTCTTGCTATACAGTTCAGGCTGGCCTAGAGCTCACTTTGTAGCTCAGGCTGGTCTCGAACTCACAACAATCCTCCCACCTCAGCCTCCCGAGTGCTGGGATTACAGGTGTGAGCCACCATGCCTGGCATAGAAACGATTCTTAATGGCCATGATGGCACACTCCTGTCATTCTGGTATTCTGGGAGGCTGAGGCAGGAGAATTGCGGCCCAGTTTGGGCAACTTAGCATAAAGACCTATCTCAAAAAGTAACGAGAGGGCTGAGGATGGAGCTCAGTGTCAGAGTGAAGGCCCTGAGTTTAACCCCCAGCATGAGGCGGGGGCTCTTCCTGTCCCCCTTGCCCCGAGCAGGCTGAGCCGTTCAGCAGCATGGCGATGCCTGGCTGCAGTGTGGTTTGGGCTTCCTCCCAGCATGGCAGGCAGTGTGGAACCTCCCTTGGGACTCAGAGCAGGTCCACTCTCTGCAGGAGACACCCCCAGATCCCAGGGGAGGGTATGGTACAAGGTGTCCTCCTGGGCCACCAGTGGATAATGAATCTGATCAGCATTCGGGTTCAGATCTTACCGCAGTGCCAGCTGTCTCCTCCTGTCAGCCATAATTAGGCTCCTGTTGTATGCAGGCCTCCTAGCAGAGATGGGGGCGGGGCAGGAGGTGCGCTGGACAGCCAAGGAGTGGCGACTTCGGATCCAGGGGACAAGGTCGGATCAAGGAGGGCGTCCTGGAGGCAGATGCTGCTGGGACCATGTGGGTCAGCAGTTACAGGCAGCAACCTACGTGAAGGTCCATACCCCTGCGTGGCTCCATTTGGGGGCCCAGACTGGATTCTGAGAGCCACCCGGTGAAGGGCTGGGCCACTTGAGAACAGATAATGCCACACCCTAGAGGGGGTGGGCAAGAGCCTGTGTCCCTTGGGGTCCTGGCTTGAAGTCTCCATAGACCGGGCCTGTTGGAGGGCGGGGCCTGAAACATGGGGGTGTGGCTTGGCTCGTGGGCGGGGCTTAGTGAGTAGTGGGCATGGTTCATGGTAAAGGTCGTGCCCTGATCCTGGAAGGGCAGGATTTGTTGTTGTGTGGTTTGGTTTGGTTTGGTTTGATTTCTGGCAGGGTACCAGGAATCTAACTCAGGACCTTTCGCTGGCAGGCTCTGCGGCTGAGCTCTCTCCCTGGCCTCACTGTTGCTGTTTGAAGGAGCAGCGGTTTGTTGGGCAGGGTTTGGTGTCTGGGCCTGTGGGATTTGGTGACTAAAGAGGTGTAGCCTGGACCCTAGATGGATGTGGCTCGGAGCCTGGAGCATAGGGGCTTGGTGTCTGGCTGGTGTCCAGAGTTGCAGTTTGCTTCCTTTTTTCGTTTTGTTTTGTTTTGAACCCAGGGCCCTGTGCATGCTTGCTTCCTGAAGGGGCGTGGCAAGAGAGCCGGCAGGGATCCAAGGAACCCAAGGGGTCCAGGCTTCCACCAACAACCTGGGTAGGAAAGGGGGTGAAAGGGAAGGAAAAGTGAGGTGTGATGGACATGCCAGTCGTGCTGGGGTGGCTAGGCCTCCAAAACGGGAAGTGCCTGCAGCTATTTACTTTTGGTGAAAGTGGAGATGAACCCAGGACCTTCACGCTAAGCTGTTAAATTCCCAGCCCTTTCATTTTATGTACTTATTTGTCTTTTTGAGACAGGGTTTCACTATGCAGTTCAGGCTGGCTTTGAGCTTACTTTGTAGCCCACGCTGACTTCGAACTCTCAGCGATCCTCCTGCCTCAGCCTCCCCGAGTGCTGGGATGACAGGGATGTGCAACCACGCCTGGCTGTGGCTGTCAGCCCTTTTTTTTTTTTTTTTTTTTTTTTTGTCTTTTTCCTTTTTATTGGTACCAGGGATCGAACTCACGACTGCCTGCTTGCAGGGCAGGCGCTTATGCCGCTGAGCTAAATCCCCAGACCCCAGCCCTTTTTAAAAATAAAACTTAGTGACAGTCTTTCACCAAGTCACTAAATTGCCCGAGCTGGGCTTGACCCTGGATCCTCATGGCTCAGCCTCTCGGAATCTGCGATGCCTGGAGCGTGGCTGTGTGGCCTGCCCGGTCTCCTGTTCCTAGCCTCATACATTGGTGCGTCCTGCCACGAGGCTACCCAATCGCATGTGATTTGGATGTGACAGGCTCCGGCCACTTGCAGGCACCTCTTTTGCAGCTGGAACGCCCAGCACTGCGCCCCAGCTGCTGTGCACTGGGCCACCCCTGGGTGGCTCTGGTCACGCGGCCTGAGAAAGCCTCCCGGTTCCTCCGGTTCCGGGATTTTCCTGCCACTGCACAGGAGACAGATGCGGAGGAGGGCGGCCTCAGTCGGCTGAGAGGAAACCACAAAAATAAAATCTAGAGCAGTGGCTCCCAGGACAAGCTGTCCCTGGCAGGCAGTAGGGGGCAGGGAGCGGTCAGCGGGGAGGCCTGGCAGCGGCTGGCTGGGCGTGGTGCCACCTGGGAGGCAGAGACCGGACATGTGGCGCTCCGGCGTCTTCCCTGTGCGCATGCGTACACAGACGCACACACGCACGCACGCACACACGCACACCTAAGCCAGCACAGGGGAGGGCCAGCGAAATGGGCCAGGGAGCCCTGGGGATGGCAGGAGTGTAAGGGCTAGCGCTTAGCATCTGCTGAGGTTTCTTTTTTTGGTACTGAGACTCGAACTCAGGACCTTGCATTTGCCATGTGGGCGCTTATGCAGCTGATGTATCTGTTGAGAAAACACTCAGAGTCAGAAACCAGGCAAAGAAGACAGACAGCTGTCACAGCTGGGAATTGTGGCACACAGCTGTAACTCTGGCACTGTGGGAGGCCGAGGCAGGAGGATCACAAATTTGAGTCCAACCTAGGCAATTTAGCAACTTTACCAGAATTGGTCTTAAAAATAAAAGAATTAAAAAAAAAATAGTTCCAGCAAGAAGGTGCTAGGTTCCATCCTGAGGGCCAAAAAAATAAAGAATAAAAGCGTTATTTGTTGTCAGACCCTTGCAGCTGAATACACGTGTGGGGCTGCGGTGTGGCGCGGGCACAGCAGGACTGAGAACAGGAGACACCTCAGTGGCAAGACAGGCCACAGCTGAGGCCGCCTGCAGACTTTCTGGGTAGTTTTCGTTCATCAGCATCGTCGGTGGCTCGGAGGGGTCCTGACCGCCTCCCAAGGTTTCCTCCATTGCCCACTGGGCTCCTTGCTTGTTCTGATTAAACCCGGGCGCCCAGGGCCGGGGGCCTGCGGCTGGCAGGGTTACGCGCTCTGCTGAGGGTTTCACTCCTACAGCCCTAAAGACCGAGCTGCGTGTCTCATTCCTCTGAGCTTTCACTGTACACCAGTTTGGGGGTTTAGGGGTCTAGGCACAGACCCCCACAATTTGTGGCTGAGGGTGTGAGTGGGCGCTAGCCTTGCTTGTGGGAGCTGCTGGGTTCCACCCCCAGAACCTGGGAAGGGGGGGTGTCATGTGGTGGGAATGTCCCCAACCAGCATCGAAGCACCAACAGCACAAAGCCTGCAGGCAGTAAGTGCTCAATAAATCCACCGAGGGGTACCTCATCAGTTGGTGCAGCGGAGGCCACCATAACCTGCTCCCTCCTCCTCACGGTGGACTCATACACTTCATTCTCCTCTTTCACTGTCCCTGTCACCAAAGGAACCCACATGGGTTGCAGGGGTACAGGGCTCACCCTGGAGGAGGAAAACTGCTTTAAGGTGAACCGTGCAGGAATCAAGTCAGACAAGAAGTGGGACTTACTGTGTCAGTCAGTGCCAGGATGGGTGAATTTGGGTGCACTGGAAAGGTTGGATTCCATGGTCTGGGTGCCCAAGAGAAGTTGGGGTCGGCTCCACCCACCCAGCTCACAGCTGGGATTTGGATGAATAAGCGGTGCTTGGCAGCCCTTTGGAGTTCATGTGGATTTGTGGTGTGATGCTGGTCCCTGTCCGCCTTCTCCCAGTGGTGTGTCTTACTTCTTTTTTTTTTTTTTTTTTTTTTTTTGTCTTTTTCGTTTTTATCAGTACCAGGGATCGAACTCACGACTACCTGCTTGCAAGGCAGGCGCTTATGCCGCTGAGCTAAATCCCCAGCCCCTGGTGTGTCTTACTTCTACTGCACGGATCTTTCTTTTTCCTTTGCAGTGCCAGGAACAGAACCCAGGGCCTCACGCATGCCAGGTAAGCACTTACCGCTGAGCTATAGCCAAGTCCTTTTGGACTGTGTGTGTGTCTCGTATCAGGAATCTAACTCAGGACCTAGCACTTGCCAGGCAGGCACTTTTTCTGCTGAGCTATGTCCCTGACCCTTTTTTGTTTTGTTTTGAGACGGTCTCATTAAGTTACTAAGTTGTCCAGGCTGGCCTTGAACTCCTGCCTCAACCTCCTGACTAGCTGGAGTTGTAGGCCCATGGTGATGAGATGGATCTTCTGCTCCTAGCTATAGGGGGGTTTGGGTTTGGTGAACAGCCTCGGGAGGGTGCTGGATGATTCTGCTTTACCCATTCCCCTGGCCCTCTATCACGGAGACTCAGTGGACACCATAATAAGGTACTTGTCTACCCCAGCACCCTCAGTGCCCATGGAGGGCTGGGAATCCCTAAGTCCCTCAGGGAGAGTCAAGGACCAGAGAGAGGGACCCAAGAATCCCAAGGCCTGAGGCAGACACAAAACCTCTTGTACTTTTTTTTTTTTTTTTTTTTATCAGTACCGGGGATCGAACTCATGACCGCCTGCTTGCAAAGCAGGTGCTTATGCCGCTGAGCTAGGTCCCCAGCCCCCAACACAAAACCTCTTTGATCGCACCTGTGGAATATGGCTGTTATTTATTTTGTTGCTAGAGGCAGAATCTAGTGTTTTGTTCATGGTTTTTTTTTTTTTTTTTTTTTTTTCTTTTTGAGACAGGGTCTCACCGTGCAGTCCAGGCTGGCCTTGAGCTCACTTTGTAGCCCAGGCTGGTCTCAGACTCACAGCGATCCTCCTGCCTCAGCCTCCCGAGTGCTGCTCTGTTCATGTTAAGCGTGCTCTAGCCACTGAGAAATACCCCTAGTAGCCAATGCCCCCATTTTACAGAAATGAGGCCTCTGTGTTAGTCCTGGCCCGGAAGTGATCTCAAACCTCTCCTGTCATCCTTCGGAGGCCTGACTTCAAGAACTGCGCACTCAGCCAGGCACAGTGGCACAGGCCTGTGGATTCTGGGATGCTGACCCAGGTGGATTCCAGGTTTTAGCTCACCCTAGGCAACTTGGAGAGACACTGTATCAAAACAAACAAGAAAAAGGGATGGACATGTAGCTCAGCACAGAGGCCCTGGGTTTCACTTCTAGCTCAGAAAGAAAAACAAGAAGGAAAACCATCACCACTTGCTTTACTGAGAAGGAGCCTGAGAACGACATGATCCTCTTGATCAATGCCTGAAGAATTTTCCAGAAGAACCTGGAACCTTCCAGAATATTCCTAGGTGTTAAAATTTTGTTTTTCCCTGACTCCTGGAATGGAATGGTCAACCTCAAAGGCTGAGAGAATTAGGCTGGTTGATCCATATACAGAGCAAAATTGCCTCAATTGAGTTGAAAAACAAACAAAAAAAAGGGAATAAATGAACCAAACAGACTCCTGTTCCGGGAAATCTCACAGGTTGTTCCATTTGAACAACTTTAGGTCTTGCAACTCTAGTTCTTCCCCCATGCTAGTTTTTTGTTTGTTTGTTTGTTTGTTTTGGGAGGGGGAAGTTATTTTTCTTGCTGTTTTTCCCTCTTTTCTCCCCCCACCTGTCTCTCTCTCTACCCCCTTCTCCACTTTTGGTTTTGTTTTTTGAGATAGGGTGTTCCTGTGTAGTTCAAGCCATCCTTGAACTCACTATGTAGCCCATCTTGCCCTGAACTCTGCAGTCCTCCTGCCTCAGCCTACCAAACGCTGGGGTTACAGGTATGAGCCACCTCACTCAGTGTCTTTCTCTTCCTGGCCTTGGGAATTGAACCCAGAGAACATTGAGTTACAGTTCAGTCCTTATTGTAGAAGTTCTGAGGGCCACGCATGGTGAGGTAATCCTGTATTTCCAGCACTTAGGAAGCTGAGGCAGGAGGATCACTAGGAGTTCAAGGCCTGTTTGGTCTGCATAACCAGACCCTGTCTCAAAAAACCAAAATAGGGGGCTGGGGATTTAGCTCAGCGGCATAAACGCCTGCCTTGCAAGCAGGCAGTCATGAGTTTGATCCTTGATATCGATAAAAAGGAAAAAGACAAAATAATAATAATAATAATAATAATAATAATAATAGTAAATTTTTTTGGTTATTTGAGATAAGTTCTTGCTATGTAATTTAGGCTGGCCTTGAACTCAGAGTATCCTCCTGCTTCTGCCTCTTACATGCAGGCTTTATAGGCACGTGCTGGTTTTCGTTTGTTTGTTTTTTAAGACAGGGTCCTGTTATATAGTACAGTCTGGCCTTGAGGTACTGTTATGTACCTCAGGCTGGCATTGGACTTGGGACATCCTCCTGCCTCAGCCTCCTGAGCAGCGATTACAAGTCTGAGCCACACATCCAGCTCCCCTAAATATTTTGATGCCCCTCCGATTTTTTTCCTTCAATGTTAGGCATATCTAGTGTGAATGATATTCCTATGTGACTGTCTAGGGTCCCCGAGTCAGAGGCAGGGGAGGTGGGAGGAGACGGAAATGACGTCTTAATCTGGGGGCCAAGGCTAATTAGGTAGGTATAAACTGAAAAATCTTGTCAGAATGAATTGCAAAGCCAGGGAGCAGCTTGGAAAGGGCGCCCTCTAGAGGACACTGCTGCGCACTAAGGGACGAGGTGGTTATTGCAAGAGCCCCCAGGGGAGGGCCTGTAAAGGCCCCTTTAAGAAATCTACAAAACTGGCCTGAAGGCCCATGCCTGTCATTCCAGCACTGGGGAGGCTGAGGCAGGAAGATCTTTGTGAGTTCCAGACCAGTCTGTTCTAGAAACTGAGTTCAAGGCCAGCCTGAACTGCATAGCGAGACCCTGTCTCAAAAAAAGACAAAAAAAAAAAAACCCAAAAAACAAAAAACAAAAAACGGTAGGTAACATAGCTGTGAACCACATTTTCATGTTTGAGAGTAAAATCAATGGTGGTCTGCACACATATTCAGCATCAATCTGCCCACTGTACAACTGAAATCTCTGTGGTTTCCAGAACATTCTATCCATTCTGTAGCGGGTGGGAAAACAGTCCCCACAGATGTCTCTGTCTGAGTTCCAAAACCCAGGAATGTTCCTTGACATAGCAAAGTTCACTTTTTCTTTGTTGTTTTTTGTCTTCTTGATACAGAGCCTCACTGTACAGTCCAGGATGGCCTTGAACTCACAGGAATCCTCCTGCCTCAGCCTCCTGGAAAAAAAAAAGCCAGGAAACTCATACATTAGTACAGAGAGTTCCTTTCCTTTCCTTTCCTTTCCTTTCCTTTCCTTTCCTTTCCAGTTCCCAGTTCCCAGTTCCCAGTGAATTCCTGGCTCCTGTCTGTCGCACCCTGGTGTATTCCCTCCTAACAGGTCACAGAATGACCTTATCAAGCTCCCCTTACAGAAATACCCACACAGCATCAGGCATTATAGGAGGATTATTATAACAGCTGCAAGAATAAAGTCACCGATGGAAGGTGCTTCCAGGTTGTCACCAGGGCAGGCCTCCGTGACGACACTTTTGGCAAAGAAAGCCTGAGTCAGCTCGCTCGGCACATTCATGACACCTGTAGCTTCCCAAGCCAGAAGCACAGAATGTAGAGCGGGGTGACTGCAGCACTCAGCTCCCACCTTGGGGCATGTGAGGGTCCTGCGCCCTCCCATGCTCTCTGCCCATGTGTAATCTCAGATAGGTCATCATCTTGTCCCTGGACCCGCCAGCTGTGTTTCAGATATATATATATATATATATATTTTTTTTTTTTTGTACTGGTACCAGGGATCGAACTCACAACCACAAGATTGCAAGGCAGTCCAATGTGACTTGGCAGAAAAGAAAAAAAAAAAAAAAGATTGCAAGGCAGGTGCTTATGCCGCTGAGCTAAATCCGCAGCCTCAGATATATTTTCTAACTCGAAGTTATTGGAGACACCAGAGATGCTGCCAGTATGATCTGCACCTATTTTATTTTTGCAGTAGTGGGCACTGAATCCAGGACCCTTGCACTATACTCCATCCCGTCTTTTTTTTTTTGTTTTTTATTTTGAGACACCCACTAAAGTGCTCAGGCAGTGCTGGAACTTGCGATGCTCCTGCCTCAGCCTCCAAGGTTGCTCATCAGGCCATCTTTTGAGTCTTTTTTTTTTTTTTTTTGTCTTTTTCCTTTTTATCAGTACCGGAGATCGAACTCAGGACTGCCTGCTTGTAAGGCAGGCGCTTATGCTGCTGGGCTAAATCCCCAGCCCCCTATCTTTTGAGTCTTGAATGCACAGGAGCTCTCCCTGCTCCCAATTTTCAGCAGCAACTTAGCCCAGCCTGTTTCCCACCCTGCACTGGGAGGTCAAATAGGCCTGGGGTCAGGGGTCAGGAGTCAGGGGTCAGGCATCAAGACATGGGGAGCAATGGCCTGGGATTTAGTCTGGCATCCAGGAAGTGGGATCTCGAATCTGAAGTTCCGTGTCTGAATATCTGAGATTCAGAAACAACTCTGAGGCCCAGCATTTAGATTTTTCTTATATCTTTTCTCTCTCTCTTTTTTTTAAATCGGTACCAGGGATCGAACTCACGACTGCCTACTTGCAAGGCAGGTGCTTATGAGGCCCAGCATTTAGGATCCCTACTCACTTCCAAGGTGCAAGATTGGTCGGGGTGGGGGACGGGACTGGAGACTGGGGTGAAGGTTTAGGACCTGTGAGGTCTGGGGTTCAGAATCTGATGTGCAAGCTCTAGCTAGCGAGCAGCAACTGCGGTGTGGTTCTGGGTCCGGGGCCTGAGCGCCTGAGCCAGGGTCGGCAACCAGGGTTCGGGCTTCAGCACCCAGAGTCAGGGTGAGGTCGGGGTCTGGGCTCCTAGCTAGCGCCTTCCTCAACCTCTCCCCCGCCCCTCGTAGCCCCTCCACTCCCCTTTGGCCCCGCCCATGTCTCCCCTGCGGCTTTTCCTCCGGCTTTCCCCTTCTCCCTCCTCTCCGTCTCTTTCCTCCAATCCCCACCCATATCCTCCCTCGCCGTCCTTCCTTTCCCATCCATCTTCTTTCCTGCTCCCTTAAGCCCCGCCCACAATCCCCGCCCACCTCCCTCCGCGTCAAGGCCCTCCCCTTCCTCCCGCCATTCCTCTTCCTTCTAAGCCCCTCCCCTCCCCGCCCTCCAGCGTCAAGCCCCTGCCCTTCCTCCCCGCGATTCCTCCTTCCAAGTCCCGTCCTTTGCCCCGCCCCCTCCCCGGCCCCGCCCCTCTTCGCCCGCCCCGCCCCCGCGCCGCAGCGACAAGATGGCGGCGGGTGGCAGCGGCGGGCGCGCGTCGTGCCCGCCGGGGGTCGGCCCGGGCGCGGGGGGCGGCCCGGGCCCCAGCGCCAACGCTGCCGCCCCGGCCCCCGTGAACGCCGCTGCGGCGCCCGCGCCCGGGCCGCCCCCCAACTCTCCACCGAGCCCCGGGGCGGACGCGCAGGCCGCGGGCGCCGAGCGCGAGGAGGTGGCGGGCGCGGGGGCCGCGCTGCTGCGCGAGCCCGTGTACAACTGGCAGGCCACCAAGCCCACGGTGCAGGAGCGCTTCGCCTTCCTCTTCAACAACGAGGTGCTCTGCGACGTGCACTTCCTGGTGGGCAAGGGGCTCGGCTCGCAGCGCGTCCCGGCGCACAGGTGGGCCGCGGCGGGCCTGCGCGGGACCCCCAATCCCCAGATCCTGCACCACAGACCCGGGCGCCCCACGACCTTGCACCTGGGTCCCATCCAACCCCCAGCTCCGGCCCTGCAGCTGAGATCCCCTGGAACCTACCATCCCCAGGCCCTGCTCCTGGGAACCTCATCCTGGCCCTGCTACCCCCTCCACCTTGTGCGTCACCCCCAGATCGCTCCAGCTCAGGGCCGCGGGGCGACCCCTTTCCCCCAGACAGTCCTGGTACTCTCTGCCTCCCCATTTCCCATCAGAGACTCTAGTGCTTCCACCGCACCTAGACCGGAGGCCCCAGATCTCTGCCAGAGCCCCCTGCTTGCCACCCCATGTTCTGCTTGCGACTTCCTGCATGTGCGGAGACCCCAGAACTGACCCTCAATCTCTCCCACAGGGAAAACCTTGCACCCTCCCCAGCTCTGGACCCCTCTTGTCCCCCTCTCCGCACCCTCTGTAGCCTCAGGTCCTGCAGCCAGCACACGGGGCCCCGCCCGTTTTACAGAGTTGGGATCTCAGCAGTGCCGGTTATTGCTGAGTGGTCCCGGGAAACCCTCTGACCTGTGACTTGTGCCGACCCCAGTGCTGGGGACCTCCTTTGCTGGTGACATGTATCCCGGCTTTCTGTGCCTGAGGCTCTTACCCATGTGGGGGCCCAGGGCCTCCCCATAGGGGTGTGGCCTCTGCCCTTCCCCCAGGCCCCAAGCAGGCAGCTAGTGGGTTTGTAGGCAGCAGCCTGTGCACCCCTTCTGTGCTGGCCTCTCAACACCTACTTATGCTGCTGGACTTGGAGCAGGCATCTGGAAGGAGCTCCCCCCTCCCATCTGGCCCTGGGGTGCAGCAGGGACCCCATCCAGCTGCAAAAAGAATGGGAGCTGATGGCTCCCCAGTGGACTTTGGCTGACCTTGGCACGTGTACTTGGGGCAAAGCGGGATCAAAGCGGTGGGTGTGAGGATGGGAGGTGGGTACAGAGTCCCAGGGCGGAGGAGCTGAGCTCCTGGAGCCACTGCAGGACCAGGGCAGGAGTGGGGCCCTGGATTGGCTTTGCGGTATGGGATGAGCTGCCAGAGGCCCCACGGCCACACTGGGACTCAGCCTCTTTGGGGCTTGGCGGAGATGGCCGAATCGGGAAGCTGATTCAGCTGCGGGTTGGCAGGTGACGGTGCCTGGGGGCCCGTGACAGGCATCTCCAGGGTTCTGGAGTGAGCATCACAGATGTGGAGAGACTGGGAAGGCACTAGTTTTGGCTTGGATGGTTGCATAGCAGTGGCCAAACAGTGGTATCTTGGCTTTTCCGTGCCTCAGTTTCCACATCTGTCCAATGGGATCTGTCAGAGCTGTTCTTTGCAAGATTGCTGCAATGCTCCACCTGGCTCAGTCCTTGTCACAGTGGCCCAGGGCTGTTTCCCAGAGGATGGGATGAACTTGAAAGTGGACAGAGCCTAAGGCAAAGCAGATGTCCCCGCCCTGGTGCTGGCTGCAGCAAGGACTGAAGTGTCTCTGCAGGGAGGGCGGCTTGGGGGAAAGTGGAGAAGCCTTCCACTGACCGTCAGATGCTGGCTGGCCAAAGACTTAATAGAGCAGAAGTACTGGGTGTGGAACACACCTGTCATCCCAGCACTCAGGAGGCTGAGGCAGGAGGGTTGTCATGAGTTCGAGTTCAGTCTGGGCTATGTAGTAAATTCAAGGCCAGCGTGGACTACTTGGCTACACCTTGTCTCAAAAAAAAATCTATCATCCCAACCATCCAGGAGGCTGAGGCAGGAGGATCATGCGTTCTAAACTATCCTGGGTAACTTAGCAACTTGGCGAGACTTGGGGTCCAAAATTTAAAGGCCTAGCAATGTAGTTTAGTCGAAGATCCTGGAGTCAAACCCCAGCACCCCCCCTCCCATAAGAAGAACAGAAAATAGGAAGGCTGGAGATGGATTCTGGGAAACCTGGGACTCTTCTGCACCAGGGGGTCAAGGCCAGCATCACTGGTGACATCCTGTGGGTGCAAGGTACCCCCGAGAAGCCCTGCCTTCCTGGAGGAGGGGCTCTGAGTCCCCGTCCAGACCTGCGTGTTGGGTAATGGGCTTCCAAAGCATTAGATAATTTTTTTTTCCTTTTTGTCCTTTTTGTGGTGCTGGGGCTCACCCATGTTAGGTAGCCAATCACCCCAGAGCCCTATTTCCAACCTTTATTGTATTTATTTTAGTTTGAGACAAGTTGCCCAGGGTAGCCTCGAATTTGTGACCTTCCTGCCTTAGCCTCTTGAATAACTGGGCTGAGAGGCGTGCGCCATTGTGGCCAGCGGTTGTTTGGCTTTAGGCCACCCTGTGTGGGTGATTTCTACTATACTGGGAGAAATCTGCACCCAGTGGAAGTGAGGAATGCCACAAAGGACTCCTGGCCAGGTCAGCACACTGGGGGGTCACCAAAGTCAGGGAGTGTTTGGGAGTTCCTCACAGTGCAGAGGGGCCCAAGCAGGCACGGTCACCAAATGCCCCTGGATCTTAGGTGTGGCTGGGGGCAGCAAGTGTATTAAAGGAAGAGCCAGTGGCATCAAAATAAAGTCTGGAGTTTCGTTTGTCTTTTGAGACAGGATCTTGGTATGGAGCCCAGGCTGGTGTTGAACTCCCAGCAGTCCTCCTGCCTCAGCCTCCGAGGTGCTGGGATTGCAGGCATGTGCCTCCACGCCTAGCTGGGGTTACTTAGAAAATTAGAAAAAAAGAGTCAAACCAAAAAGATAAGACGGCTGGAGGTGTAGCTCCTGGCGAGTGCTTGCTAGTATGTGCAAAGGCCCTGGGTTCCATCCGCAGCACAAGGGAAAAGGAAAGAAAAGCTGGGGCCACATCAGATTTCCAAGCGTAGGGGTCTGCATCATTTTCCCAGAGTGGTGACAGCCGGGGGCTCAGTGTGCACAAGAACCCAGGGTACCGGGGGACCTGACATGACAGAGAGAAGTGAGGCGTCCTGTCTAGCCAGTCTCCAGGGCAAAGCCTCCCTCCCAGGCCTGGCAGGGGCCTCTGGGGTCCTTGCTGGGGTTCAGTGTCTTGGGGGCACGGAGTGCAGAATATCCTCAGGGCACTGTGTGGGTGCTTGCGGCAGCCTGCAGCGGGTCTCTGAAGTCCTCCGCATGTCACAGCCCCGGGCGACACAGCTGGCAGAGTGGGCTGTAGGCTCCCGGAGCCGCCTCTGCCTGATGCTCCGCATGGCTGGGTGGGTTTCTGGGCTGGGGCTGCACAAGGGACGGGACTGACTTCATGGTGTTTGAGAAGTTCCAAAGAAATTCTTGCCCGATTTATTTTGTAGTTTTGGTTTCTGGATAGAACCCAGGGACTGCAAACTGGGCTGCATCTCCAGCCGATTTTGTTGTTCTGAGGGAAGGCCTCATTAAATCACTAAGTTGCGCAGACTTCTTTGGAACTTCCAAGCTTCCTGCCTCAGCCTCCCGCAGCACTGAGATGACAGGCGTGTACCGGCTGATGTGTAGCTTGTGGACCCGGCCCTGCCTGCGCTCTGCCCCGAGGGCGCCGCGGTGGGATCAGAGGACTAGTTCTGTGTCACGTCTCTGGTCAGCTTGGGGTCTGCATTGCTCAGCTCGCCCGTCCCGGGCGATTGGCCAGCTGCCTGGCTCCCCTGCAGACTGAGCGTGGGGTCTGAGACTGCCCACTCGGCGTTGAAATGCTCCAGTTCCCCAGGCTGGGCTCAGAATTTTGGTCATCTTGCTTCAGCCTCCCAGAGGGCGGGCCACAGGCAGCCAGTGGCTGTGGGGTTTCCGTGGCGGTCCTGTCACAGAGGATGAAGTCGTGAAACAGACCGTGTACCATGTGTGTACTGCAGAGTACTTCTGGTCTTTGACTCTATTACCCAAGGTGCTTAGGTGCTTCTCTTCTCTGCCTGTTCCTGGCTGATGGCTTGTCCTTTCTCCTGCTGTGTGTGTGTGTGTGTGTGTGTGTGTCTTTCTGAGACAGCATCTCACTGTGCAGCTCAGGCTGGCCCTGAGCTCACTTTGTAGCCCAGGCTGGTCTCGAACTCATAACGATCCTCCTGCCTCAGCCTTCCTGATCGCTGGCATTAAAAGGCATGTACTACCGAGCCTGGCATGTCTGACTTTTCATAAAGAATGTTTAGTTTGTTTCTTTTTGTTTTGCTTTTGTGAGACAGGGTCTTGTAGTGTGGCCCGCCTCAAGCTCTCGGCTGTCTCCCCTCAGCCTCCCAGGGGGTTGAGATTGTAGATGTGTGCCGCCAAGCCTGCCAAAAAAGGTGTAACTTTGAAATTGTAGTAAGACAGTCTGGTTTCTCTCCAGATCCTATAAATCTTTCACCTTTTAAATTATGGTAAAAGCTGGGCACCGTGGCTCACGCCTGTCATCCCAGCTGAGGCAGGAGGACGAGTTTGAGGCCAGCCTGTGCTGCACAGTGAGAACTCTCTCAGAAAACAGAAAAACTAAATTATGATACATTAGAGCTGAGCCTGGTGTGCCCGCCTGTCACACACTCAGGAGGCTGAGGCAGGAGGGGCGCTGTGCATCAAGGTCACATAGTGCGACCCAGTGCCGTCCCCCAGCACTCAGCTCGGGGTGCCAGCACCACACACAGGACTTTCTCCGCCTCCTCACCTGAGCCCCTCCAGCCCCGGAGCCCCAAGTCCACTTCCTGTCTCTGAGTCCCCTGGCTGTTTCCTGGCCATGGAGCCCATGTCGTGTATCCTTCTGTGCCTGGCATCCAACCCTGAGTGTGGTGTCCTCGAGGTCTGAGCGTCACAGCCGTGCTCCTGTCCTGGCTGAGTGATGGCCCAGCTGTGGCTGCCGTGGGCCAGGCTGCCATGGACCCCTGTGGCCATCCAGGGTCAGTCGTTCTAGGGGCAGCAGGCAGCTGGGGAGGCGCTGGAGCCTTGGGGGTGGAAGCAGAGGTGCTGGGGGTGCATGCACGTGAAGTTTCCTGGGTGGTGGGGAGGCTATCGGGACCACGACCTGCAGCTGGGGCCTGGGAGGGGCTGCCAGCCCTGTGCACCCTGCCCTTGACCTGCTGCCTCTGGTGGCTCGAGGCCATGGGCCCGGCAGCAGCCCCACTGAGGCTTCTGCTTTCCGCGCTTGGCTGTGTGTGGCCCTCAGAGGGTTCCCTGCAGGGACTAAGCCACTGTTTAAACACAGGCGCTGGCTCGATGGGTGAGCTTTGATTTCTGAAAGGCGTGGGCTGTAGCCAGCTGTGCAGGAGCCTGCGGCCAGGAGCGCAGAAGGGGACAGGACAGGGAACCACACTGGGCTTAGCTGGGTCCATGGTAGGGAGGACAGGGACTGGACAGGACACCAATGGAAGGGCAGATGCAGGGTCACTGGGGTGCATTGCTGCCAGTCGATCAGCACTGCTCCCACCCTGGCCCGCTGTGCCCAAGGCGTCCTGGTGGCTGAGGTCCAGGCTGACCACAGCCCTGTCCCTTCCCCAGGTTCGTGCTGGCTGTGGGCAGTGCCGTCTTCGACGCCATGTTCAACGGTGGCATGGCCACTACCTCCACGGAGATCGAGCTGCCCGACGTGGAGCCCGCCGCCTTCCTGGCACTGCTCAAGTGAGCTGCTGGGCGGGCAGGGTGGGGCGCAGCCCTGTGCCTGCTCCAGGGCGCTGTGGGGGGGACCAGCTCCAGCCTCCACCCCAAAGCCAGTTCCAGGTGTCACCTCTTATTTCTCCAGTTTTTGAGATGGGATCTCGCTATAGTGTCCAGCCTGGCCTCAAATGCCCACCCTTCTGCCGCAGCCTCCCAAGAGGGCTGGGGTGGCCAGCAGGCACCACTGCTCCTGGCTTGCTGTTTGCTTTTTTAATCCACTCCAGGTGTGGGGCTCGGGGAGGAGGTGACAGGGAGGAGCCCCCTGGTCCCCACCCTCAGCCCACTCCCCTGCACTTGGGCTGCAGCCCCTCGGGGCCTGGCTTTAACCTCCCTGTGGCGGCATCCCAGGCTGTGTCCCCTCTCCCCAGCTCAGGGAGCACCATTGGTCGGTTCCTCCAGGACTCTGGGCGCAGCTGGAGGTTGATGGGGTGACTGGGTCCAGGGTCCCCCTCACAGCCCCCACCCGCCCCAGGTTCCTGTACTCAGATGAGGTGCAGATTGGGCCCGAGACCGTCATGACTACGCTATACACTGCCAAGAAGTACGCGGTACCAGCACTTGAGGCCCATTGCGTGGAGTTCCTCAAGAAGAACCTGCGGGCCGACAACGCCTTCATGCTGCTCACACAGGTGGCCGGCTGCTGGGGACAGGTCGAGTTGCTTGGGGCCTGCCCTGAGTCAGAGCCCAGCCTGTTCCCTGGGGCCGGGTCGTGGGGCCGGAACCAGGCCCTTTCCCCTCTATAGTCAGGGACAGGGTCTGGCTGAGATGTGCATGGGGGCACTGGTGCTCAGGGGGGCCCGGAGTGTGGCTAGAGGGGTGGGCTGCATGGGGCCCCTGCCCGGGGTGCGGGGCAGCATCCTGAGCCCGCATCCCCGCCAGGCGCGCCTGTTCGATGAGCCGCAGCTGGCCAGCCTGTGCCTAGAGAGCATCGACAAGAACACGGCCGACGCCATCACCGCAGAGGGCTTCACCGACATTGACTTGGGTGAGGTGCTGAGGTCCCCCAGGACCCACCAACTGCCTCACCCGGGGAGGCTCTCCTGTCCTGGGGTCACCCCAACCCAGCCTGTGGGGGCTGCTGGGCCGCCTAAAAGAGGCTCAGCAGAATTTGGCTTGCGGTCTGCATACCTGGCTTGGTTGGTTGCAGCACCTTCTGCTAAGATATTGTAACTCTGCCCTTGGGGGGAAGCAGCTGTGTGCACCAGTAAAACTTCACAGCTGGGCATGGTGGTGCACGCCTGTCATCCTAGCACTCGGGAGGCTGAGACAGGAGGATCTCTGTGAGTTGAAGACCAGCCTGGGTCAGAAAGTGAGCTTAAGGCCAACCTGGACTGCACATCGAGACCCTGTCTCAAACACACACACACCCACACACACACCCATGAGCCAAAGGCTGGGGTTGCTAGTTGGTGCTCCAGTGAGGCTTGCAGGCACAGCCCGGTCATGGTCTCCCTTGCAGACACCCTGGTGGCCGTCCTGGAGCGGGACACCCTGGGCATCCGGGAGGTGCGGCTCTTCAACGCAGTCGTGCGCTGGGCTGAGGCCGAGTGCCAGCGCCAGCAGTTGCAGGTGACGCCGGAGAACAAGCGGAAGGTGCTGGGCAAGGCCCTTGGGCTCATCCGATTCCCGCTGATGACCATCGAGGAGTTTGCCGCAGGTAACAATGCGGCTCCTGCCCTGGCCAGAGCCTGGGGGCTCAGCGCAGTCCCACAAGTTCCTGGTGACAGATGTGGAAATGCATAAGGATCCGAGGGAGGCCATGTGTGGCAGCGCAGGCCTGTCATCACAGCACTCTGGGAGGCTGAGACAGGAGGATCACAGGGTGGCGGGCCTGCACGGGTTAGCAGGTTAACCAGATCGGGTCTCACAGTTAAAAATAAAGAGTCAAGTTGTAACTCAGTGCAGAGGCCCTGGACTCAGTCCCAGGTGTGTGACCTCATCTTCCAGGAAACAGAAATTTGGGGAAGGAGTGTGTTTTAGTGTAGAGACAGGTGATGTAGTTCATGCTGGCATCAAAGACCTGATGAGCCCCCGGGTGCTGGGATGACAGGCGTGTGCGGCCTTGCTCAGCAGGTGGAAGGGACGCTGCCTTCAGGGCTGTGTCCAGCTGGGTTGTGGGGGGCTCTTCCTGAGTCATGGCCTCTGCCTGGAGGTGCCTGCCCGAACCTGTGGCCCAGTGGGTGTCCTGGAGTGGCTGCACCCGTGCATGTCACATCCGGCACCAGCTGGGCCACCGAGCTGCTGAGACTGGCCCCTTGGGGCTCGCTTTCCCAGGTACCTGTAGAAGCCAGGGCTGGGGCCCAGGACCCACTGGCCTCAGCAGCTGGTATGACTCCCGGGTGTGTGGACAGGCGGGGTCCTGGAGTGGGCGCCTTTTTTTCCAGACTGGGCCAGCTGTGTAGTGCAGGTCAGTCTCATACTCACTGTAGCCCAGGCTGGCCTGGAATTCACGGCGGTCCTCCCGCCTCAGCCCCCCGGAGTGCCGGATGACTGGCGTGTGGCACCAGGCCCTTAGGGCGCCCCAGCCGGAGGTAGCAGGGCAGGGTGCGGGGCTTACTCCCGAGGGGTCACCCCAAATGAGCGGCTGTGCCCCTACACCGGTGCCAGGGCAACCCGCTGCCCAGCTGAGCCCTTTGCCCGCCGCAGGCCCTGCGCAGTCCGGCATCCTGGTGGACCGGGAGGTGGTCAGCCTCTTCCTGCACTTCACCGTGAACCCCAAGCCGCGCGTGGAGTTCATCGACCGCCCGCGCTGCTGCCTGCGCGGCAAGGAGTGCAGCATCAGCCGCTTCCAGCAGGTGGAGAGCCGCTGGGGCTACAGCGGGACCAGCGACCGCATCAGGTGCGCCCGCCGCCTTGGCACCGCCTTGCTGCCCCGCACCCGGCTCTTTGCCCAGGGCCTGACAACCCTCTTCTGCAGGTTCTCAGTCAACAAGCGCATCTTCGTGGTGGGCTTTGGGCTCTACGGCTCCATCCACGGCCCCACAGACTACCAGGTGAACATCCAGGTGAGCACCCCCCCCAACTGCCAGGCCCCGCCCAACAGGACCAGGCCCCGCCCCGCTGCAAGCCCTGCCCCACTGCCAGGCCCCGCCCCAAGCCCCACCCCACCCCGCCCTGCTGGACCAGGCCCTGAGCCCTCCCCTGTCCCCAGATCATCCACACGGACAGCAACACTGTGCTGGGCCAGAACGACACGGGCTTCAGCTGCGACGGCTCGGCCAGCACCTTCCGCGTCATGTTCAAGGAGCCGGTGGAGGTGTTACCCAACGTGAACTACACAGCCTGCGCCACGCTCAAGGTCTGCACCCCCCACCCCCGCACAGAGCAGGGGAGCGGGGGGTCCCTGGCCAGGGCCCACCACACCTAACACACACCCCACCCCCCACAGGGCCCCGACTCCCACTACGGCACCAAAGGCCTGCGCAAGGTGACACACGAGTCGCCCACGACGGGGGCCAAGACCTGCTTCACCTTCTGCTACGCGGCCGGGAACAACAATGGGACGTCGGTGGAGGACGGGCAGATTCCCGAGGTCATCTTCTATACCTAGGCCGCCCTGCCGCCCTTGGGTCCCGTGTCCGTGGGACGGCGCGGCCAGGGGGCAGAGCCCAGGGGCCATGAGACAATCCCTCAGACACCGTGGCCGGCCAGGGCCGCGCCTCGATGTGGGGCCATCCTGGGCCAAGGGAGGCGGCCCTCGGGGTGCCCGTCCCCTGTCCCCGCAGCCCCGGGCCAGCAGCCGCTCACCCAGGCAGGGAGCGGGGACGCATCTGTCACGCTATGCCTCGGGGCCCTTTTGGAGCTCAGAGTCCGGCCAAAGGTCCCCAGGGCGCTGACTAATGGGGTCTTTTGCAGCCGCTCACCCAGGCAGGGAGCGGGGACGCATCTGTCACGCTATGCCTCGGGGCCCTTTTGGAGCTCAGAGTCCGGCCAAAGGTCCCCAGGGCGCTGGGGACTCGGGCTTGGCCAGCCATGCACCCGAGCCACCCCTGGCCTGCGGGGCGTCCCCCTCCAAGACACTGGAGATGAGTGTGGGACTGGTGGGACTCGGGCTGCAGTGCTGTCCCCACAGGGAGGCCCACCCCTAGGGAGCCCTGGTCCAGTAGTGGGTGGTTTGCTGTTGCTGCGCTGGGCCCCATGTGGGCCAGCGGAGCTGTCACTGTCCTCTGGACAGCCACCTCGCGCCCAGTCCCTGAGGCTAAGCAGGGCCCAACCCCGTGTGCCTGGAGGGACAAAACTGGGGGTCACCCCGCGATGGGGGGGCCCCAGCTGGCCTCGTGCGAGTTCCAGAGGCGCTGCCGCCCCCTGTACATATTGTCACCCCAGCTCGCCATCCCTGGCACCTGTGTCCACCCCGTGACGCCCCTGGAACCTGCGTTGTCCTGAAGCCATGGAAGGTGTGGTGTCACACCACGTCATTTTTTAAATAAAAGAAAGAAACGCACCGGCCCTGAGCTGCTGTGCCTGCACCTGCCTGGCACAGCTGAGTTCAGGCGGTACCCATGGTGCAGAGGCCGGGAAGCTGCCTCAGGCCTAGTGCATGGTGCAGAGGCCGGGAAGCTGCCTCAGGCCTAGTGCAAGGTGCCAGTTTCTGGCAGGGCGGCACCTGGGGTGGGGCTGAGAGAGGCTTGGGGCGGTCGAGGGGGAGCTGCAGGAGCCCAGTCCTGTGTGCAAGTAACAGCATGTGATAGGCACTGCGGTCAACACAGACCTGCTGGCCCTGTAACCCACAGCCCCTGTGCAACCAGAAGCTGTGACGAGTTCTGGTCAGCAGGGCGCTGGGCTAGGGCGAGCGTGAACGTGGAGCCGGTGCACGCTGAACACTGGTCCTCCAGCTGCCCAGGATGCTGAGGCAGAACCGCATTCTGAAGTCCAGGGCAACTTAGTGAAAACCTGGCTCCCAGCAGCTCCATGGTGAGCGTGTAAGGCCCTGGCCTCTATTCTCACCACCGCAAGAGTGAGTCTGCAGGCCGCCTCAGAAATTGAACTTCTGAGCCAGGAGTGGTTTTGCATGCCTGTAAGCCCAGAACTTGGAGTGAGCAGGCCAGCCTGAACTGCACTGAGACCGTCCCAAGACCAAAACAATAAATTGAACTTCCACGCTGAAGACAGCTGGAGCTCTGGGCATGGGAGCACCCAGCAGCCAGCACTCTAGGAGGCTGAGGTAGGAAGGCTGCACATTTGGGGACAGCACGGGTGATTCAGCGAGAGCCTGGATGGCAGGGCTGGGGCGGTACTGCAGGACAGAGCCTCTTGCTGCCCGTGGGGTCTGTGGACTGACGTGAGCTAAGGTCACATGGGCCAGTTGCTAGCCCAGGTTCTGACAGGCAGAGGTCAGGCCCTGCCTGCACACGTGCAGCCCCGGAGCCCTCTGCATGGGCACGGGGAACCCCACAGTCTAACTCCACAGTCGGTTAGCCCACAGCAGCAGCCAGGACCCACGTGGTCAGCGCTGTCAGCGCCTCAGCGGCCCGGGTTCCCCACAGCCAGTGTCTTGCATGGCACTGCCCGCTCCGGGCCATGCTGTGCAGCACAAGGTGCGAGACCGAGTTACACAGCCAGCTCCTTCCTTCCCGTCAGGGCAGCTAGGTCTCAGTAGTGGTCTTAACAACTGTGCACAGCATCTGGCTCCCCTGTCGCTGTCAGCCAGGTGGGTGAGCCGCGGCCACTTGTGTTTGTCTGACTAAGAGCTGCTTTCCATGAGAGCTCGGGAGGTTTTTCTCCCGTGACTCCTCAGGCATGTACATCAAGGGTCACTTTCCCCGTGGTCTCATCATCATCGTCAGAAGGCCAGGGGCTCCCTGAGGACCTATGGATGATGTAAGCAGAGGTCTTGTGTGTCCTGGGTCCCTACTGACCTTGAAGGGCTGGGACCCAAATACCAGCCACCCTCAGCCCACCCAGAGGCATGAGCATCAGAGGAAAAGACCTGAAACGGTGCAGAGTCTGACAAGCAGGGCTCTTGACGTGACTGTACCTAAGCAGGCACTGGGGGCGTGGGCGGGAACTGCTTCCCAGCATCCACGGATGGCTGTGTTAACATCTGAATACTCGTCACATAGTTTACGCCATAAATCGGAACCCTACATTCAATCATATGACAATCCTGACATTCATACAATACTCTGAACTTCCGTTTTGGCATAAGACGTCCCTTGGAGTCACCCTTAACTGATACACAAGAAACTCCAGCTGATTTGCTGCCCTTCAGTGGACTGTGAATCTCACAAGCCTTTGGAACCAGCAGAGAGAGGTCTGAACAGGAGACAAGTCTATTACCCTAAGTGAGCCCCGTTTTACCACCTGGGGGACCCATATAACCGGAGCCATGAATATCCCCAGTGCATCAGGAGTCGACAGCAGTCAGCTGTCACTGCTGTGGGAAACTTTACGCAGGCATCTCCAAACCAAACACTTCCTGTGTTCTTTTTTTTGCTCATGACCAGTGGGAACACGTGAGCTTTGAGCATTTTGAGCTTTAGCTGGGCCGTCTCCCATAGGCTACGGAGATCAGAGGCCTCCAATCAGACTGAGAACTGATTTAAAAACTGTTACCAGGCGGCTGCTTATTCATCCACTGCAGTCCTGTCCAATAACCCCAACCCCAAAGGCCCTCGTTTACTCATCTCAGTATTATTTTTTTCTAAATAACCAGACTCTCAAGTCCATGAGAAGTAACCTACTACAGGCATATACCCAGTCTGTGTGTCAGCTGGACCAGCCGGGAACCCTAAGAAGTCTTGGATTGAAAGATGACCCCAAAATGCAAAAGGAAAAGGGAGAAAGAAAAACTGTTGAGCTCAAAGTAAAAGCTGTTCACAGAGTGGACAGGCGGACAGACAGACAGATGATTTTACAGATTCAAACAGACACAGAAACAGGCACACAGCCCAGCAGGATCCCTGAGACCTGCCCACATTTCCCAGGGGCCTCTTATGTGCTCATGCTGCGCCCCCAGCTCCCAGGGCCAGACACCTGCCCCCTCCGCACCCAGGCCAGGTGCCGTGTGACCCCGGGCAGGTGTTTTTGCTTTCTGCTGTATTCACGTGAATGAGCACCGGTTCAGCAACTCCTGGCAACTGCCCACAAACAGACTGGACAGACAGACACCACCACACGGGCAGACTGACAAACACCTTACAAAATCAGAGTATACTCAAACACATCCTTAACCAAACCAAATTCCAGACTTCTCACCAATTATTATTTTGTTTGTTTGGTCTTTTTCGTTTTTATCGGTACCGGGGACCAAACTCACGACTGCCTGCTTGCAAGGCAGGCACTTATGCCGCTGAGCTAAATCCCCAGCCCCTATTATTAGTTTTTTGTCTTTTTGAGACAGGGTCTTTCTGTGCAATTCAGGCTAGCCTTGAGCTCAATTTGCAGCCCAGGCTGGTCTCGAACTTGCAGCAAGCCTCCTGCCTCAGCCTCCCGAGTGCGGACGACAGGCGTGAGCCACCTGGCCTGGCTGCAAAATGTACTTCAAAGACTGCAGGGTGGATTCGATGCTGGGAAACTGTGTGCTTGTGAGATGCAGGAATACAAATAACAGGAAGAAAGGGAGAAGACAGTACAGATGACGGGGCTGGGAATTCAGCTCAGCAGCCTAGTGCCTGCCTTGTAAGCAGGCAGTCGTGAGTTCAATCCCTGGTACCGATTGAAAGAAAAAAAAAACAGAGATGACCAGTACGCCAGCGTGTGCACACGCATGCGCACAGTCCCAGGCCAGCCGTGCCTGCGTTGCCAGTTCAGGGGGCAGCCTGCCTGGGGGCGACTGGGGGGCTCAGCCGTAGCCCTCCTTCCCCATGGTCTCTGTGGCATCCGAGTGACCTCTCACTCCATGCTGTGTCCAGCACACCCCCAGTAGCTCACCTGTCTCTTTTTTTTGAAACAGGGCCAGGCTGCCCTTGAACCCCTGCTGATCCTCTTGCCTCAGCCTCCAGAGCGCTGAGACTGCCCAGGATGGGCTGGAACCAGCGATTCTCCCACTGCCCTGGGCAGCAGGACTGACCAATGCAGACAGCGTCCTGGTTCACTGGCCTGGCCGCAAGGGTTGCTTTGCTCCAGTGGCTCGAGGCCCATCCCTGTCTCTCCACCCTGCCTGTCCCCCAGGGAGGCTTCTCCACACCGGTCATGAGGTGACCCGGGGACTTGGCGGGGCCAGGATGCCCGCCCTGGCCCTTTGGCCCTTTGGCCCTCCCTAGTTTGCTTCTCTCTGCGCTCGCCCACCTGTCCTCCCTGAGGAACCCGCAGGGGCTTGCTTTTCCTGGTCCCTGACTGTTCTAGGCTGCCGCCCTTGAGGAAAACCAGATGCCACCACTCAGGCGTCATTTTTTTTTTATTTTCTTAAAAAAGCCCTAAGTTCTATGGCTTCAAGGAAGCGTCAGAGAAACGTAAATGCCATTTCTGTACACGTTGTAAAGCAAGAGCTACGCCTGACTGACCACCGCCCCAGGGGCACCCTGGCCCCGGGGTGCCCGGCTGGACCGCAGGGGTCGCCACTGCTCTGCGGCCACCCCACCGGCAACGCCCGTGGGGCGCGGGGCTTTAAGGCTGTGCAGTGGAGACCAGAAGCCCCAGCCTGGGGGCCCAGGCCGCCCACCCGGGCCGGTCCCCGGGAGCAGCTGCACCTTGGGGCGCAGGCCGCACTCGACGGGCTTTGGTGCAGCATGTGGGTGGGGGCTGGCTCCGGTCGCCGCCCGCCTTCCCCTTTGGTCTGGGGCCGCGGAGCCCCTGGGCAGCCAGCTCAGCAGACGCGGCCGGGGCTGCCCCGCGAGGAAACGCCTTTGGATCAAGGGAGCCAAGCAGCCGTCATGAGGCTGAGCGCTCACTGGCGCCTCGGCCCGGCTCCTGGGTCCCCGCTCCTGCTCCTGGGTCCCCGCTCCGGGGTCCGCTCCTCCGTGAATAGTTAACGCTCTGGAGCGCAGGAGGGACCCAGGCGGAGAAACGCTGCCGAAGTCTCTTACGTTAAGGGAGGGACCCGCGTCTATCCAGCCCGAGGCCCTGCAGTCTGATGGGGCCGCGGCGGGACACCCCGGCCGGTGTGGCCTCGGGGTCAAGCTGGCCTGAGGCGGCATGGAGGACAGTCACGCGCAGGAGCGCCAGGTCACTTGTGCCGCTGCAGCGATTTTCTCTTCCTTCTCTTGAAGAAACAGCAGCACCTGCAGGGTGGCGGGCGGTGGGTGGTGGCCCAGGCCACGCCGCCCCCCGCCGACAGCCCAGCTCACCCCGGCCCTCCCCGTCCGCCCTGCCGCCCCTTACTTGGTGTCGTCGACCACCTCCACCTCCGCCGGGGCCGTGATGGGGGCGTTGGAGTGCCCGGCCGTGGGGTCGTCGGCGTTCAGCTCCCCGTTGGTGGAGTTCAGCGCCTGCAGCCGCCGCGGAGGAGTCAGCGGGGATGGGGGGGGCACCCCGCGCCCGGACGCGGTCCCCCCACTCACCTGGTTCTTGCTGTGGGCCTGGACCTTGTCCCGGTGAGCGGGCTGGGAGGGCACGTCGGAGTGCACGGTGCCGATGGGCGTGGGCTGCGGGGCAGCAGGGTCAGCAGGGCTCCGGGCTCAGCGCCCCCCTCGCCCCGGCCCCCCGGCCCCGCCTGGCGCCTACCAGGGCTTTGCCGGCCCAGTCGTACTCATAGTCGAACACGAAGCCGCTGCGGTCGAAGAGGTCGGTGAAAAGCTTGCGCAGGTAATCGTAGTCCGGCTTCTCGAAGAAGTCCAGGCGCCGCACATAGCGCAGATAGGTGGCCATCTCCTCTGCGGGGGCGGCGCAGGTGTGGGGCGGGGCTGGGCACCGCGGGCGGGGGCCACGGGTGGGGGCCCGGGGGTGGACACACCAGCGGGGTCTCACCTGGGAAGCTCTCGCACAGCACCTCGATGGGCGTGGCACGCTTGGTGTCCCCGATCTTCTGGTACCGCTCCTTGAGCGTGTCGGCCTGCCGGAGTGGGCACTAGTCAGCGGTCAGCCGCGCCCCGGGGGCCGGGCCCTGTGCCCCGAGGCCGCACCCACCTTGAGCCCCTGCCAGGGGAGGCTGCCGCGCAGGAAGTACATGAACATGTGGCCCAGGGCCTCCAGGTCGTCCCGGCGGCTCTGCTCTGCGGGGCGTGAGCGCGGGTCAGCGTGAACCAGCCACCCCCACCCCCACCCGGGTCCCGCCCGCCGCTGACCCTTGCCCAGGTGTGTGTTGATGCTCATGTAGCGCGCCGTGCCCGTGAGGCTCTTGTGCTCGCGGTACGGGATGTGCTTCTTGGTCTCGGGGTCGATGTACTCCTTGGCCAGCCCGAAGTCGATGATGTGGATGGCGTGCTGCCGCTTGCTGCCCGGGCGCCCCACCAGGAAGTTCTCGGGCTTCACGTCGCGGTAGATGAGGCTCTTGGTGTGCACGTACTCCATGCGCGTGATCTGGGGGTGAGCGATGAGGCCTCAGCAGGGCGGGGCACAGGCTCCCGTACCCCCCCCCGCCCCTCCCTCCTGCGCCTGCGCACCAGCTGGATGGCGATCATGAGCACAGTCTTCAGCGTGAAGGTGCGGTCACACAGGTCAAACAAGTCCTCCAGGCTGGGCCCCAGCAGCTCCAGCACCATGGCGTTGTACTTCCCGCACGGACCGAAGTAATAGACCTGAGGGATGCCCTCTGCGGGCCGGCCAGGCTATTGCTGGGCGCGCCCCTTCCGTTCCCCTCCCCTCCCGTGTCCCCTGTCCCCCTCCCCTCCCCTCCCGTGTCCCCGTACCTGCAGCGCTGAGCTGCTTGTAGTAGCGGTACTCCAGGTGCAGCTGCGGGGCCCGGGACTTGATGGGCTCCTGCGGACAGGCCGACGCTTACCCAGGGCCCCCGCGCCCGCCCCGGACCCCGCGGGAGGAGGGGGCGCCCCACTCACCAGTTTGATAGCCACATACTCGTTTGTGTAGAGGTTCTTTCCTGCGGGGACAGAGGGGCCATCAGGAGTGCATGCCCCGGCTTCCCACTCACAGCACCTCTGCCCTCCCACATCTGTACCCCTAAGCCGTGTCCACCCAGGCGCCCCCACATGACGAGGAGAGGCTCTTCTGTCCCCTCGGGTTCGTCCCGTGTATGTGGTGCGCGCTGTCCATGGACCCGTCTGCCTGTCTAGGACGTGCCATGGGCAGGCCACCTCTGGCTCCCCTGCAGTGACCAAGTCCTGCCCGACTCCCACGCGCCCCCTACTGGTGCTCCAGAAGTCTCGGATGTCTGCCCAGGACAGAGGCCCCAGCCTGTCCCGGCCCCCAGACCACAGTATAGCAGCAGCGCCGGGACGGTGTGGCCAGCCCTCTGCCTCCGTCACAGGCCTTTCCTCAACTTGCGACGTTCAAGGCCTGTTTGGTCCTCGGACATCTGTCCAGCCCCACCCCACGTCTTTCTGGGCGGCCCCCAAAGCCTGAGGTTGGGTCCTGGGTCCTTTGTGTGCCATCTCACGGTGGCCTACTTGCCACCTCCACTGGGAGACACCGAGGCTGTCTAGTGTGGGACGCCAGGAATCCGGCAGCGAAGCCTCCTGGGGAGGCTGGGACCACTCCCTCCCCGTGTCTTCTGAGATGAGTCTGTTCAGGTCTTCCTGCCGCCGCTGGTCTGCTGTCCAGTGCAGCTTCAGAGGCCGGAGCTTCTCTAGTCAGGTGCCCTGGGGTCCCTGCTGCCATGGCTGTACTTTCCTCCAGGGACATCCACTGTGCTCTGTGGTCCAGTGCTGGCGTGGACTGCGGTGGGGATGTGTGAGCGCGAGGTCCCTGGTGACATCTGCAGCCATGGGGCCGTGTGCAGGGGTCTGAGCTGTCCCCGCTCAGTGCTCTGGCTCTGGGGCCACATGAGGGCCCCTGCAGTGGTCCTGGGGGCCACACCCTAGTCAGGAGACTGTAGGGCTGGACAGAGATGCACCTACAGCAAGATTCGGACCACACAGGCCAGAGGAGTATGGCGCAGGTCTCACAGCAGGGACGCCCCAAACTCCCAAGACCCATCCAGGGCCCCAGAGCCCATGGCTCACGAAGGGGGCCGTCCAACCCTGCAGGGACAGCAGAGCTGAGCAACGAGCATGACCCTCAGTCCACTCTGGACACACGGCACCCCCAGGCCGGCACAATGAAACCTCACCAGGCCCAGGGGAAAGGACGCACACACAGCAGGTCGTGGGGGCGGGGGGCAGGGGCTGGGGCTCAGTGACACAAGCTCCTGCCTGGTAAGAGCAAGATCATGAGTTCAATCCCCGATACCAAAAAAAAAAAAAAAAAAAAGAACGGGACCTGAATACGCCATCGGACACTGGCATTTAAGTCCTGATTCTTTGGCAGTGCTTGGGATGGAGCCCAGGGCTTTTCCTCCACACTGGTCAATGGCTGGCTGCGCACAGCCCCACTGAAGGGGACCCTCACATACCCCGCTAACAGGCAGGGAGCGGCAGCCAGGCCATGGCCGTGCCCTGGGCCTCCTTCGTCCCTGTCTGACAAGCCGATGTGGGGGGCTGTAGGTCTGCCTGGGGTGCCCAGAGAGCAGAGCACACCTGACAGCTCGTGCTGATTGCCCAGGCCAGGGCTGGCAGCACCCGAGCTCCAGTGACAGCCTGGGCATCCGAGGTACCAGCTGTTGAGTCTGGGGAACCACCGTGCCGCGCTCCCTCCACTGACCACTGAGCCTCACCAATCCACAGTGGGCCCCTGGGAGGGGACCAGGCTTGCCCATCCTCAGAGCTTCTCAGAGTGGAGAGCAGCACCACACTCCTGGCACCCCGCACGCTGGGAGGCCAAGGCAGGAGGAGCACAAACTGCAGCCCAGCCTGGGCCACTCAGCCAGACCCCGACTCAGAAAAAGGGCTGGGGATGTGGCTCAGTGTAGAGTGCCATCCCCAGCGCCACAAAACACACACACACACACACACCCTCCTCCAGCAGGAGGGGCCAGGTGGCCTAGCTGATCCCCGGCAATCCGCAGGGCGGCCACCAGCACCAGCATGGCAGACTGGAAACCCGGCTCCCACGTGCGGTCGGGCTGGGGCTCACCTAGGCGCAGCTCCCCGAAGTTGCCGCAGCCTATCTTCTTGCCGACGCGGAAGTTGGGGCCCACCATGAGCACCCCCGAGCTGGTCCCTGAGCTCCGCACGCTGTGGCCGCTGCGGCCCCCGCCGGTCTTGGACATCCTCCGGCCCTCCTCCAGCTCCCCTCTCCCCCCTTTCCTGTCAAAATCCATCAGTTTGTGATACCCCGGCCTCTCCACGATGGCTCTGCCCCTGCAGGTTCGCGTCTGGAAGCCGAGTCTGCCGCCACCTAGCACAAGTCTGCCATTGCCGCCGCCCCAGCTAGTGCGTCGGGTTCGCCCGTGGGGGCCTGGCGGGGACGTGCGTCTTGATGGCCTGAGGCTTGTGCGCTGGGAGAGGGGACATTCTGCTGACGGGTTCCACGACCTCAAATCTCAGAGCAGCCAGCTGTGGACAGACAGAGGCACAGGTCAGGATAACGCATACCTCAGGGCCCAGGGCTCAGGTCCGGCGCAGGGCAGGGGACATTCCAGAAAGCCTCAGGCAGTCCCAGCACGGACCCCTCTACAAGCTCTGCCCAGGAAGGCAGAAGTACTTTCTGTGCAAAGCCACGGCTTGGGCCCTGCAGGGACCCGTGGGTGATGCCTGGATGGCTGAGGCCAGAAGGGTGACCCTGAAGCCAGTCTGCTGCCCCGAGTCTATGCAGGATCTGCACAAGAGCACGGGGACCATGGAGCAGCTGGTGCTGGGACAGGAATCTCCCTATGACTAAGCCAAGAGTAGAAGGCAGGCTGGGGGTTCACGGACCCACAAGACAGTGACCCAGGTTCCCACCTCGATCTCCAGCAGCCACACAGGAAGGCAGAGCCCAGGGAGCAGAAGTGGGGTGCAGACCCCGAGATGGAGTGGGGTTCAGGCTCCCATAGTGGGCTTCGCCCAGACCTGCCCTGCATGCTCTGCCTAAAACCTGTAGCCAGGCAGGGTGTAGTGACAGACAGTTGACCCCCAATGCTAGGAGGCTGGAGCAGGGGATTGGAAGTTTGCAACGCAATGAGACACTGTATCCAGATAAATGGAGTAAGGAAGGGTGGAGGGTGGGCTGGTTCAATCCCCAGCGTCACCAACACACAGAGCCACAGCCCAGACAGGCCAGGGTCTGGGCCCGGGCACAGTACTATTCGCTGCACTGTGACCCTCTGCCCACAGTGCTACCCAGAAGACCCAGCCCCACTGCAGCGCCCCGCTGCCTTGGGCCTGTCCCCTGCTTCCCAAGCCGACGCAGAAGAGACCGCTTTACAGGGCCCGGGCTCCAGCACCAGCACCAAAACCACAAGAAACAGCCAGCCACTGTTCCGGCCCTGCAAGCCCCCACCCCCGGTGCTGTCCCTGCCCTGCCTGGAGAGACCAAGCCACACCAAGCAGCAAGGGGAGGCAGAGCCCCAGAGCCCCGGCTGGATGGTGACCACGGCACCGGCAGAGAGCACAGGTGCCCACATCCCTGCCGAGACCCCTCCTGCGGGCCATTGCTCCTGGGGTGTGAGCCCTGCGGCATCCACATGGGAGGCCTGGTTGGCAGCAAGTGAACGGAAAGGCTGGCACTCCTCCTGGATCCCAGATGAGGTCCGGATCCCACCCCTCAAGGTCACCCAGCCATGGGAGGAGGGGCTGGGACCAGGGCTGGGGCTAGAGGCCACAGTGTAGGGTCCACTGAGACCAGGAGGAAGACAGTGTCCTTCCATGGGCTGGACCTTGGGAACCCGGCTTAGAGGTCAGGTCTGCGGACAGGAGATAGGACACATGTAGACTACTCCCTCGGGCTACCTGCCCTGAAGACACAGAGCCACAGGCAGCAGGAGCTGGCAGGTGGACGTCCAGATTTCATGCACAACCCCAGGCGCTCAGGTGTCTGCCGGCTCACGTGCAGCTCGGGCCGCTCCAGGCCGCTGACTCCGGTGATCCTGCTGCCCATCGTGAGGGAGCACACAGCAGCCGAAAGCAGCACCAGTCCATTAGGACACGGCTGATGGCCCTCCAAGCTACCAGTGTCTGCCCAGCACCTGGCTGACGTCTGCCTGAGACACTGCCTGTCAGGGACAATACATGAGTGACGAGCTTGTCCCTGGGCCTTCATGGGGGGACATCACAGCTGAAGGGACAGGGTGGAGGTCTCTCCAGGGTAAGAGGGCCATCAGGGTCTGGGGTGACTTCACAAGCCAGGACGGTCATGACGAAGGAGCCCAGGTGGCACAGCTCAGGGTGGCCATAGATATTCCCACCCCACACTGTGGCTTTGAGGGCCGACCCAGTGTGGGCACCCACTCGAGCACACTATCTCCATGGGAGAGCAGTAGCCTCTCCATCATGGCCCCAGGCCGTGGGGGACACAGCCCTCCTGTCACCCATCCGTCTCTAAGAAGTCACAGCAGAGGCGAGGGGGGCGGTGTTGGCTCCTGGTGTGTGACTTCCTGGCTGCGACCCACTGTCACTCAGGTCCTTGGGGTCGTGTTCTCTGTAATCCTGGGGATGGAGCCATGCCATGCTCTGCCCTGCCACACTCGGGGACACCCGTAAGCAGCCGAGGCAGAGAAGCCACAGCTCGGAAACAGCAACCACGCCAGCCGGGCCTGCCACTCCAGACCTTGCCAGTGTGGGGACAGAGTGATGCAGTCACAGGCCAGCCTGGGTAGCACCTGCGTGGCTCTGGGCTCTCACCCGTGACGCAAAGAAGCAAAACACCCATGAGTGACCACTGTTCCACGAAGAGCAGGGAACACGGCGACACATGCTCACCAAGCAGTGTCCGCCGGGGCGCAGGGGCCCTGGTGACAGCGCTGACTGGTAGCCGTGCCAGGACCTTGGCAGCCAGAGGCCCCCGTGGGAGCTGACAGCTGTCCGTCCCTCGTGGACCCTAGACTCTGGCTCCCCAACATGGCTTTCCCTGAGAGGCCAGAGCACCGCTGCAGACACTGACCGGGCCAGGTAGGTGACAGCGCTTCCGACCACCTCGCCTGAGCATGCTGTCCTTACAACATGCTGACAGGAAGTGGGCGGGCAGCTGTCCCCAAACCATCGGGCTGGCAAACCTCTTCATGCAAACGCTGTCTCCGCAGGGGACTGGGGAGGCCATGAGGACCCCGCTGCACAGGGAAGCGACCGGTCCAGGCCTCCACCGCACTGTGTGGGCTCCCAGGCAGGCCCACGGCCCTGCTGGCCCTGAGGAAATGCCCCTGGGACCCGCTGCCTCGGTCACACCGCCTACCCGGCCGCCAGGAGCCTGAGTGGCATCTGGGGCTGCCACTGTCAGTCAGAAGTGGCGTCTCTCTGCCTGCCCTTCTGCTGTGGGCGCCCTGCTGAGAGCAGCACAGAGTGCAGGTGGCGGTGACTTGGGCGTGCGGTGTTGAACCGGGCTCTGTGCAGGCCTGGCACAGGACAGGACACTAAAGCCAGGTGACCACAGAGCTGCGCCTCTGCTCTGCTCTCTCTGGGCCGAGAAGCCCACCCACCTGGACACATCTGGTCACATCTGGACAATGCACCACCAGGCCCATCCCCCTTCCTTGGCGAATGAGGATGGGGTCACCAAGGGACACATCCGTCACTGACGCCCAGGGCACATTGCTCCGTGTCCACTCGCAGGGCACAGCTCTGCCCTTCCTGGGAGGTCACCACATCAATGCCAAACTTAGTGTGGACACCTGATCGGCACAGTGGACAGCAGGCCAGAACGCCTGGACTCCTGTGACCCTCCTGCCTCAGCCTCCTGCGAGAATGCCAGCGACCACAGATGTGCACCGCCATGCCCAGATGTTTTGGCGTTGAGATAGTCGCACATAAAGTCACTAAATTCCTAGTGCCTCAGCCTCCCAGAGTGACAGGCGTGTGCCACAGTGCTTCCTCTGCTTGTGTTTCCTCTATGTTTTTAAGACTCTTCTAAGATAAATGAGACACATGTGTAAATACCGCATTGTTTCTCTGGTGTGAAAAACAAAAGCATAGGGCCGGGGATACAGCTCAGGGGCACCGCGCCTGCCTGGTGAGCGCCAGGCTCTGAGTTTGGTACCAGGAAGGGAGGAAGGAGGGAGGAAGAAGTGTAAATGAGGATCACAGTGCAGAGGAGGTACGGTGAAACAGTCAGAAAATGTTCGCAGGGGGAGCGGAATACGTGGGGGGAAGGCGTGCAGGACCGAGCGGGGCCACACACAGGCGCACACTCTGCGACGAGTGTGACCGCTGGGGTATGGACAGTGCACCAGTAAGACCTGATCAACAAGGCGGTGGAGCAAAGCGGGCTGAGACCGAAGTCTGGGACCCAGAACAAAGCGGCTGGCACCCGGGGCTTCCGGGCTCCCTCCTCCTCTCGGCAGGCGGCTCTCCGTGCCCACTATCGCCTGCTGCAGTGACCGGGAGGCCGCCCACACCTGCGAGCATGTGGCTGTGGAGCCCACTGTGTCCGTCACCTCTGGGCACAGCTGCCAGTCTCCCGCTCCCGGCCACCTGCACCCTCCCAAGCGCACCAGGCCTGTCACCACCAAGGGCCAAAACCTCCTGGGGGCAACGCATGGGGGCTGAGGCCGCAGGGACACACAGTGCCTTCTGGGCCTGCACCTGCTCGCCCACTGGCTGGGGACACGAGGCAGCGTGCTGGTGCCTGGGGCTGCACCCTGTGTGACCCACTCTTGTGTTCAAGATAGTGTCACGGACCACAGGGGAACTTCTGGGCCGACTGCGCTATTCGTGTTGCCATGGGGTCAGCTTTAAGTAGCTCAGCATGTCCCTCCAGGGTGGCAGAAGAAACCCAGGGAGCCCTGAAACGCATCCCTGGGCGTGTGAGACAGGCCCCACTTTTTCCTTCAGGCTGACCTTGAACTCATTACAAGGCTGGGCTGCCCGTGACCTCACTGTGATCCTCTTACCTCGGCCTCCTGCCTGCTGGGTTACAGGGGTCTGCCACCATGCCGAGCTCCTCTCTAAGACGCAGGCTGGCCTCACACCTGCCATTCCCCGCCTCCGCTAGAGGAGCTGGGGAACAGGCCCGCACCCACCGAGACTGTAGCTGCGGCCCTGGTGCCCGTGTGCGCCCGTGCTCACAGCCTGTTCTCCAGACAGCCGGAGCCAGCTTAGCACGGCAGGCTGGGCAGGACACCCCCACCCCGAGCCTCACTCTCCCCCCACCAAGGCCTAGGGCGAGGCACAGGAAATTCGCCCTACCTGGAAATGAGTCCTGGTGTGGTTTTCAGGGTGCTCATAATATACAGCCGACCCCCAGACAAGCCCCAGTTAAGACTGCCAGATGGACAGACTGGCTTGGTCTGTCCACTGCCATAGGTGACAGGCAGATTGAATGATAAGACTGATACAGAATTAAACCTAAGTGCGTGACCCTGATGTTAACCCGAGTGTTGACACAGATGATACTTGAGCCTCTGAGCTCCCAGGCTGGGGCATCTGGACAAAGGCGAACCCGAGGCTGGCGGGTTACCGCTGAGTGACCAGGGTGCAGCCCACCCGTGCCCACCCATGCCAATGTGATGCCCACATCATGTGCTGGCGCTGCAGGAACACTGGTGCCGGCACTGGGAATGGAGCCGTGAGGGATGAGGCGGGAACCTGGGCCCTGGAGGGTCACTGGGAAGGACCGAGCAATGTCCGCCCAGCAGTAAGGGCAGGATGTTGTACGCGACACAAGACGACCCTGAATATCAGCCCCGCTGTGTATTTTGGAGCAGGAATTAATGTAAACCTGGTTTTAACCCAACAGGAGCCTCCTCTGGCCAGGCTCAGTAGCACACACCTACAGTCCAGCACTCAGGAGGCCGAGGCAGGAGGAGTCCAGGCATGCGAGGGCAGCCTGGGCTGCGGAGCCAGACCCTGTCCCAAGTCCCAGTGCAGCCTATGGGACAGAGCCAGCAAACCCCCGCAGCACCCCCGCCTGCCAAGGGTATGCTGCCTCCATGGTTCCAGGCCCCAGGGGCAGGTGCAGCCACCTTCAAGGTGAGGCGCCAGGGGCCCAGCAGGGGCAGCAGAGGCACAGACAGGCCGCCCCGAGGGCTTGGTCGCCACCCCACTGCCCACCTTGCTCTCTGGCCAGCAAGGCAGATGCTGGGGTCCACCCAACGGGCCTCAGCTGGTCAGGGTCAGCTGTGCTGTGCCATCTCCCCCTGCTGTAACACCCCAGCACTAGGCCTGTGGGGCTGCCAGGACAACCCACACACCTGTGACCACGTTAGCACCTCGGCCCGTGCTTGGTTCCGACGAACCTGGACACGGTCACCCTTTTTGGCCTCCAGCGAAAGACCCCACAACATGCTCACAGCAAGGCTGACGCCCACAACAACCAGCACCCTTGGGGTCAGATGCCCAGAGACAACCACTCAGGAAGCGCACTCTGCAGCACCTGGGAACGGAGGCCAGCAGAGCAGGAGAGGCCTGCCCACCACTGTCCCTGCATGGCGCTTCAGCTCACACGCCCTGGTGTCCACTGCTGCCTCTCCCGGCACCATGGAAGGGCAGGCCGGCAGGTGCAGGAGGCCCATCTGCCCCCGGCAGCAGGCAGGGATGTGGTCAGAGAACAGGAACCACCTGGCGACAGCAGGCTTGGTCTAGGCACATCACAGCTTCCCCAGACAACCCCGCCAGAGCATGGGTACTGCCAGCCCCACACACCAGCTTCCAAAGAGGTGGGCCACAGCCCAGACTGGACAGTCGGCCACACAGAGCTGTGACCAGTGACAGAGGACCTGGCCCACCATGGCTGTCCAAGTGAGCCAGACCTGGTGCATGGGGACACAGCAGGAGAGGCAGAGTGGAGACCACAGCCCAGTAGATGCGCCCTCAGCCAACAGTCGCACTCAGGCCTGGTGAGTGGGTTCCAGCCAAGGCCAGGCAGGAGGCAATGTCACCCCGGGACCCCCATGGCCGCCGTCTCCCACCTGGTTTGGGCAGGTGACCCCTCACCCTACCCCCAACCCTCCAGAGCTCGCAGTCCTGCCGGCCAGGGAACCTCAAACAGGAAGTCACCTCACAGCGGCCCACATGGTACTGCCTTCTGGGGAGACCACTGGGCCAAGTTACCTGCCCCCTTCTCCTTGGGATTCGCATCTCCCCAGGGCCCTGGCGGCTCCCTGCTAAGGCCTGGGGAGCCCCTGCTCTGCACTCAGTGATGTCACAGTCCCTGGCTGACATCAGCGGCACAGCTCACAGCCAGGCCATGTGAAGCCACTGAACCCCTTCTCGCTGCCCACTGAAGTATGTGCCATCACCTTGGGCAGTGTCTGAAGACCCCTACAGGCAGGTGACCAGGAGATACTGTCCCGTGGGGTCAGTGGAATCCCTTGACCTAGGGGATTTCCCCAGGGTGATCCTGCCCCCAGGGGGACTGTGGAGCTCCTGGCAAGGCCAGGTAGAGGCCCTGGACCCTGCCCAGCACCCCAAGACAGGGCTGCCCCCACAGAGAACAACGCAATTTGAGTGCGCACGCAGTTTGAGTACGCGTGGAGCTAGGGAGACCCCGGCTAAGGAGACAGGGTCCCCAAACTCATGCAGTGGCTCGAGATGTCCTGGAGACGCGAGGGCAGGCAGGAGGTGCCTTATCGCGCGCAGGAACACGCAGCTGGCGCAGACAGATATGCTGCAGGTTGCGGGGTGCCGTGCTGGGGGAGACAGAAGCAGCCAGGGCCTTGGGCATGGCCCATTTTATTTTCTTTCTGCTATTTTTCTTATTTCCCAAAACACCC